AGTAATCCCGTCACAGCTTCTACTGACCCGTGAACCAACTTGGTGTCCTCCTTTATTTGGATGGAGCTTAAAAATTCCTTGGATTAGATTCGTAAAATATGTATGTTTCATAGTTTGCCCTATATTCCTATCAAAAATTACGCAATGAAAGCGGGAACTTGGCAATTTCTTAGCCAAACAGAACGTTTTGACTCAGAATGTAACGGAGAGTTGAAACGACCCCTCTCCCCTACCAATCAGAGCTTAGAATGACCATTCGTGCCGTCATAAACTCGGGACCTTTTGTCAACGGAGGACCTTGCCCCAAGAAAACTAGTTCAAACTCATACGGAGATTCTCATAGGAAAAAAATGTACCTACGAGCAGTAAGCAAGTTAGCAACACCTAACCTGTTTCTCATCGATAGTTTTATATTTTGCAGCACATACTTCTTTATTTTCTTTGGTGGGTTGACACTGTACCAGAATCCATTTTGACGGATTCTATTGCAACAGACTCCAGGTAAATCATTTATGATCTAAGCTAGCATGATCTTCAAATAGAATTTCAGCTAATTGAAAGAAGATTAATGTACAATATTATATTCCATATAGTGACAAATACCAAGAAGTGATCTCTGGTCTGCTGAACTGTAGGTCAGATGACGCTGAGAAGGCCTTGTCAGTAATGTCGCCGAGTTATTGTGTCGGGTGATTCAGCCACATGTCGTCAGCGGGCGTTACTTCCACCTAGGCCACCGCTGGGACCTGACCTACTTCTGCCATCTTTGTGTAATGAGATGATGTAGGAAACTTATGTTGATTCGAAATTTGGCAATCAAAAATGACAAAGAGAGCATAGACGATTCCCGCCCTCGAGCACAATAGGGCAGCATAATTTGCTTTTTTGCAAGACAAACTATCATCCTCAAATGTGTCCTTTTTAGAACCCAGTTTTGGACCTTTAATTTGTTGCCCCAATTGCCTTTAATTTTGTATACACCTCTGTTTGTAAAAATATAATATTTTGATATGCGTAAATTACTCTACATTGCCCAGGAAAGTCCAGAAAAAATCCTGGACATCACACGAAACCATTTTATTCAACTTGTTAGCTGATCGGCATTCTAAAACAAATAAAAAGTTACAAAAGTCAGAAATAACGTGGTTATCAAACAGTTTATTATAATCAAATTTACTTTATGCATAGCTAGGCTTATACTAGTATCGTATAAACTCAGTCAGTAGAATTACTTATTCTGTTTTATGTGGTTATATATTCTCAACCACTACGTGAAGTGTGTGAGAATAAAACGAAAACTTCGAGAACCCTCCTACAATAATTAGGATGAATAAGTTTCTTAAAATTAGAACCACAATGGCGTTGGTTATCTATCATCAACCATTCATGATTTCCTCGTTTGGACTCAGGCTAATAGTGCAGTCAGCGTACAAGCAGATGATACGTAGCTTCATAGATGATAACTGATCTCAATCAGTCAGAGCCTGATGGTATTAAAATTTGTCTTGTTGACGCATCCTTTTAAACAAAAGAAGACATTACTTTATTAGGCTGAATTGAATATTCTGTTACGTTGCAATAATGTATGACAGGCTGAAAAGACCGTATACTAGCTACAAATTTACAATGTTACTTCGACGCAAAAAGTTCGGAAAACTTGTAAATGGTCTTAGCCTTAACATATACAATACAAACTAGGTGTAGCTACCGTGAACGACTGACATTTAAATGCAGCAGCATTTCGCTATTATGGTAAAGTTAAGGTTGTAGTTGAGTCACAATACGAATACGGAATGCAATTAACTTAGAACAGTTTCTTTCACGATTACTAGAAAAAACCTTTTTCTAGTAATCGTGGTTTCTTTGATATAGTTATAAGGCGTCAAATGAGCTTTCAGATTTTAAAAATTTATTTTTTACTAGCTATTTAAGATTAGTTTAGCCAATCTGTTAGAAAGTCATAGTTGAAAACGTTAAAACGGAGCGGCGTTCCTTCTAAAAAAAAATTAAAAACTCAAATTAATTTCAAAATTATTGTAAAAATAGGCCATTAACAGTTTATTTAATGTATCTACTTTTAATACTTTCTACATTGTATTTCTCAGTTACGTACAAAATGATACAGAAGTAAGCGTCGTCTTGAAACGTCATCGTAGAAGCGTCATAGAAAGTCAAAGTTGAAAACCGGCATTTCTTTTCAAAACAACTAATGGTTTGCCTTTGAAATTGCTCAAATTATTTTCAAAATTATTATAAAAAATAGCCTATTAACTGTTTATATAATGTTTCTACTTTTAACACTTTCATACATTGTATGTCTCAGTGACGTACAAAATGAAGCAGAAGTAAGCGTCGTCTTGAAGCGTCATCGTTGAGGCGTCATAGAAAGTCAAAGATGAAAACCGGTGTTTCTTTTCAAAACAACTAATGGTTTGCCTTTGAAATTGCTCAAATTATTTTCAAAATGATTGTAGAAAATAGCCTATTAACTGTTTATATAATGTATCTACTTTTAACAATTTCATACATTGTATTTCTCAGTGACGTACAAAATGACGCAGAAGTAAGCGTCGTCGTTGAAGCGTCATCATTAAAGCGTCATCGTTGAGGCGACATACATAGTCGCTGCAAATAAATCTTACTTTCCTCTATGACAATAATTCAACTCTCTGTTAGTCTATAAATATTCACTGATGCCAGAGTATGTAATATATTCGGCCACTTCTCAGCAGAGGTCAGTTCTCGCATTGTTATCCGGTGACCCCAGAAACGTTGTAGTCAGGTTTTCCCGACCCTAGATGCTGGAGATCCTGGCCCTCCTGACCTTGACTATCTTCGCAGAACAAACGCTTCTGTTCAGCGAACATCTTTCGACACATCTTTTTTATTTGTTTGGATTGTGTCGGCTTTTATTCCCTCTACCACATTGTTCTATTCGTATCACGATCTTGACATTGTAACACGCATGGTCCCTGTTTGCAGACTCTATTTTGATTGTCTTATTGTTGTTACTTATTTGTATCATTCTTTTTTACGGTCAATTAAAAAAAAAACTCTTTTCAGTAAAACTGACAGTTCTCCTACCTTTGAATTATTCTAAAACGTACTTAATTAGTTTCTCAAAACAACTCTGTGAATCCAATTAGGAAGTTTTTTGTCATTTGCTGAAACTCCTGCAAACTTTTTAGTTTTCCCTACAAAATATTTTGGGTGCATTTTTATGAACTAATTATAGTATTCAAGCCTTAACCTCGACGTAATCAATTTTTCCTATATAACTTTGAGTTATCTTTGAGAATGTGTTATAACCTAAACCTACACACCATAATAAATTATATATTGGCACGTTCTTGCCAATCCAAACAAATCTTTTTAGAATTCCATAGACCCATGGACGATGATTTAGAGTCATGTTTGTTGAAGTTATATCACACAATCACCACACTAGCAAGGTGTGAGTCAAAACCCGCGTTATGGCTTCTGCTTCTGGTTTCCCTGGACCATTAATTATGCTACATGATGGCCAAGGACAGCTGCCTCTTTAGTCTCTGAAGAAGTTACAGTGTCTCTTCATTTCGCTAAATTTGTGCTTGGCTATGTATTGATGCTGGTAAAGTTGTTTACTTTTTTATTGACTTGACGCCAGCTGTGTATTTATTTATTAACTTACACCCAAACCAAGTGGTGGGAGATCAAAAATCCTAAAAAAAGTTGAAATTTCATAAAATAGGTTAATATTTTTAAAAATCAGTTTAATAGCAGCACTAACGTTTTAATTTTAATTTTCGAGTTTTTTGATAAAAATGATTCTCAGTGTTGTCTACTTTTATAGTACCAAATTACTCGCTATTACGGATCGTTTAGGTTTAAACAGCAAACTAAGAGCGAAAACAGAAGTATTAATGTTAAAAGTGCCTGGATTTGCAACTTGAATAATTATACCAATGCAGTATGTAAGTATGCTAGTATGCAATTCTGATGTTTTCAAGGTATGGAAATAAAACAAGTTAAAATGCAATCTGCTTGAATTGTGTTTATTTTTACTTCAGCCAGGTTTGAGGAAAGTCCTGTGCCGCATAATCGAGTGTCCTTGACATTGGCTGTAATGGGCTCATGTCTCACGCGATCCGTCCATCCCACCGTTCAAGTCACTGGCCTGCTCCCTGCTCTTGCCTTGTGTTCTTTATCATACGCATGCTTTTACACCTTCACTTGTCTTCTCTACTTATCTTGCTTCTCTGCTCCCAATCATCACTTCGTTGAGGAAAAACAGGAATTCTATAGTTTGCTAGTTTTGTGTTGCCTTTGTTAACTGATTCCTGGATCACCACAGCGCTGCAGCGTGAGTTTGCTAAGAAGCTCTGGTAACCGTTAAGTATGTACAGGATTTGTATTGAACTTTGCCAAGGTTTTTAAAACATTAACATCCTACGTAAAATTGAAAAAGTACGTTTTATTTATTTTTATAAGATTTTTGTGTGTAGAGTACCTATTCATAATATGAAACTTCATTAATCAATACGTACACTTTTGGAGCGAAATTTATAATTATCTTCAGAGTATGCTATAAATCCTGGATAGAGTATATAATTGCTTTATAAAGACACAAAGTACCTTTGAAAATGCAGGACGATACTGTTTGTTTTGTTATAATATCATAGTTCAAGTTAACTTTACTGTATTTTATTTGTGAAATAGTTTTGATCGATTAAACAGTAAACGTTTCAATTTTTTTTATATCATCAAGGGACACTCTTTCAATTAATTTCGCTTCAAGTTTGGCAATTTACTTTTTTAACTTAACATGATCAACGAGGTTATTATGACGAAATATTACATAGTTGATCAAACTTGGTTTCAAAGTAGGGCACCTTTTTCAATGTAGACTTCTACGAAATCGATGGCGTAAGCAAGACGTCCCGGCCGCGGGAGGAGCGTCGGCGAAGAGAGACATGACGTCATCGCGGGACTCCCACACGCGGTGTCTCGGGTCCTCAGCTCAGTCCCAGTGTTCAGTGTTCAGTGTACACTCGCACAGACACCATGCGACACCTACACGCACTGCTGTCACTACTGCTGACCGGCGCCAGCATGCTGAACGCTGCTGAGGTATTCCGCACAGAATTGTTCCCCGAGCAACTGGAGCAGCAGCAGATACAGTTCCAGCAAATCTCACTGCAGCAACAAATCCAGAACTTACAACGACTGGTGCAAGTAGCGACTACCACTGACGAGCGTCAGGACTTACAGAGGCGACAGAACGGCATAGACTCCCAGATGCGACAGATGCAGCGCCGACTGCTGACGCTGCAGCAGAAGATACAAGAGCGACTGGGAGGTGGAGTGGCGTTCGTGACACAGCCAGACATAGACCTGCAGAGTGAAGGGGACGGTGTGGAGGTGAGGATACTAAACAGGTTGGATAACCCTCCTGTAGCGGGGGTGCCTGATGAGAGGCAACAACAGTTCCAACAACAACAACCTAATTTCCAACAGCAGCAACCTAACTTCCAACAGCAGCGACCAACGTTTCAACAACAACAACCTAACTTCCAACAGCAGCAACCTAATTTCCAACAACAGCAACCTAACTCCCAACAGCAGCAACCTAACTTCCAACAACAGCAACCTAACTTCCAACAGCAGCAACCTAACTTCCAACAACAGCAACCTAACTTCCAACAGCAGCAACCTAACTTCCAACAACAGCAACCTAACTTCCAACAACAGCGACCCACAACACAGTTCCAGCAGCCCCAAACACCGACCCAACCTCCCTCGTCTGACGAAGCTATCATACCCTGCTCTACCCTGTCAGGAGAGGCAGGCAATTGCAGACCGCTGATCAAGTGCCTGAGTTTCTATGCAGAGTTGCCGGAGCTGAAGAAGCAGCCCTGTCAACTGGGCGAGGGTGGTCTGGGAGTATGCTGCCCCCGCAGGTCCAGACCAACAGGTAAAATACACACAGTATATTTATATTAAACATTGTAACTTTATGCTACCATTTATAACCTCTTTTGAATTTTGAGGTTTACATATTGTTCAAGGTAGTGTTAATATTGGTACATACTCCTTCAGGGTTGGATATAAAGAACATAAAAAATAGAAAATTCATCTCATATAAACTATATTCTGTATATATATAAATATTGATTTTATGAGCTTTTGGAAATTAGTCCATAGTAAAACCGTGTGTGTGTTCAAATGTAATTTCCACAACTCTACGTATTACTTAAAAAGCCAATCCCTAAAAGCCTAATAACACCTAAGATGTACTTACACACAACTCAGAACACCATCCATATAAACCAAAGATTGACAGTTTAATTTAAATTAATATAATTATTATGATTACATCTGTTTCTGCCCAAACAGTGGTTAGGACGGTGCGTCATAGGTCTATTCACAGTTTGTTCGCATTTTTCGTATTGCAGGGTTATCTAGTACGAGCAAAGTCTGTTTGTCTGTCTGTCTGTCTGTGTGTGTCTGTCTGTTATCTCGAAATATAGAAGAAGGATTTTGACTAAATTTTGGAATTAGGGACTTGTAGCCTTAAAACGTGATTGACGATAGCTACTACATCAGAGAAATTCGTATTTCGCTCCACAACTCATTTGAAAATTAAAAAATGTAACATTGATTGGCCTTATGGGTGCCAAGTAACTACGTTGGTTGAACCAAATAACAAGTAAAAATTAAATAAAAGCCGTGTAGCATGTGTTCATAACAAGCCATCTACTGTATACAGGGTGTCCATAAAAAACGTTTCAGGACTTTGGGAAATGAATCCCCATACTAAAAGGAAGAAAAAACTTTATGGGAAGGTATGTCCGAAATGCATATTAACCCAGATATCCGCCATTTTGTTTTTTATACAAAAATGTTTTTATCTGTGAAGTTTTTTATTCGACGATTATGAAATTCGGTGAACATGTTAACATACACAAGACCTATAATAGAAAAAATAGTAAAGTTATTCCGATTGTAAATTTCAAAATGGTGGCCGTTTGATTTTTTTCTAACTTAAATAACTCAAAAACGGCTAATTATATGAAAAAATGTCAAGAATAATGTTTTTTAGCATTTAATTTCCTATCAAACGATACCAAGATCAAAAAGATCGGACAAAAGATAACTGAAATATAAAGATTTTTGTGTAAAAATAAGGCAAAAATTAAGGGTTCCCCGACTAACTTTGCCTTATTTTTACACAAAAAACGTTATATTTCAGTTATATTTTGTCCATTAGCCGTTTTTGAGTTATTTAAGTTAGAAAAATTCAAACGGCCGCCATTTTGAAATTTACAATCGGAACAACTTTATTATGTTTTCTATTATAGGTCTTGTGTATGTTAACATGTTTATACCAAATCTCATAATCGTATAAAAACAAAATGGCGGATATATGGATTAATATGCATTTTCGGACATACCTTCCCATGATTTTTTTCTTCCTTTTAGTATGGGGATTCATTTCCCAAAGTCCTGAAACGTTTTTTATGGACACCCTGTACTAGCAGATAATAAAATACAGTTCAAAGTGATAAACTTGTGTAACTATTGAGCAAAACATAAAAATATGTGTGGCGTTAGTAAGAGATTTCGTAATAACAACGTTCTATATTTCTAACTATTGTATTCACCTCTTTAATGTTTTGCGAGGCATTCGAAAAAGGCTAACGTTAGACATAACTAATGGCTGTTGTACAACGAGAGCAAGTGATTTGTCATTCACTACCGTTTTAAATTGGGGGAAAATGTAAATTTCCTGATTCGATATTGACAGTGTAAACCTTTTATTTTTAACCCTACAATAAGATATAAATCGATAATATTCTCGTTTTGGTTTCTCTACGGCATAAACTAAAAAAAATAAATTACAATTATCATATCAATGTAAGTTTGTTGTAAACTTAATTGTTTTGTTTTGGCTTTACTTTGACATTGCCAAACAACATCTCTAATTAGGAGTTTAGCATGTTGATTCAATATATTATAGCAACATTAACAGACATTGTAAACAGACATCGGCAACAAAAGAAATGGGAACAAACTGATGTAAACAGACCTAAATACCGCACCGTCGTACACCGTTCAGGCAGGCACAGAATACTATATTCCTTCAAATTATATCCTTCACATTGCCAGTACAGGACGTTGATTTGTACTCAATGATTTTGGTATTTAACCAACCTACACTAATCATATTGCATAAAATTAAATTCTCTCGTAGTAAATCTCTGTGTTTGTATCTTGTTCTGTGTTCTGTTTATCTATTTATTCATACATGAACACCTATTAATTTATTGATAGGCAAATAAAAAATACCAAAAATCGTCTGTTGCTTAATTAAATTAATTTATTGAGATGATCATCATCATTGAATCATTTTATGTGTTCTTATTTTGTGTTCATTCAACACAATATGTTATACTGTATAGTTAATAATACATTTTTGTATTGCTGGAAGTTTCAAACTTGCAATTTGTCGTTTGTTGGTATTCTATTGCATTTTACACGTTTAGAACGACAATGCTGTCTGAATTGCATGATAATTGTTGATAGAATTTGGTCTACAGAAATTTCGTTCATCTGAGTATTCATTTCAACATTTGTGTAGTTAAACATTAGTTTTTGACATATGTTGTGTTTTTTGCAACGAAACTGCCAAAACCCTTGCTACCATCTAACGTTGACTGTTTCGTTAGATAGCATCATTTGTCGATAAGCCAATGGATGTCACGCCCTTAGAACCAACCACACTTGGAACAAACTAACAACCCTCAGCAGATTTGAAGTCAAGCACACTATAACATATTTTACAATCTTTGAAATGTGAACATTGCGAACTTGTAGATAACTAACTGTGCTATGTTTTGACGGCTTCAAACCTCCATAATCGTCAGGCTACAATATGATATACCGGTAATTCAATTCCTAGCTTTTTTCGTAATAATAAGCTATAACCATTGACAATTTGATACTAATTACTAAATATTGTATTAATAGTCAAAGCTAAAACACATCACCTGAATATTGAAAAAGAAACATTTCAACGGATCATAAACATAAACAAATGACGTCACTGGCCCGGAGATCTTTACACTAACGTATGGTTTGAGTGTTTTTGAAAATTCCAATAAAATATATTTTTTAATTGTTCAATTTCAGGCCAGTGATGTCATTTATTTATGTTTATGATCCATTACAGTTTCTGTTTCCATATCCATGTATGAAAACGGGTACAAGCAAAACAAAAACTATCACCTCCATTCATTGGTGTACATTTGCGCGGGAGGTACACATATGTTCTGTACATGACAATTAAGCTTATCTGTGGTCCTTTTGTGACAGAGTTTCATTAATCTAAGTACACTAAACATATCAAGGATTTGTTGGCGAGGTATGTTTTATCAATATTATTTCAAGGTCACTCAATTCAAGGCTATATAAATGAAATTATAATACACACATTACATTATTTAACAAAAATAATGTAATGTTGCAAAACATGTTACAAAAACTCAACATCCCCAACATGTGCTCGTGTACAGGAGGTCCCAGCAAGAACAGCGGTGTGCTGCATGCTCCACCACCTCCGCCAGTGGTCATCCCTCCCTTCACCCCCCAGCAGCTCGACCATGCAGCACAGACTGCGCTGCAGCGGATCCAGGAGAGGGTCAACTTCATTATCCAGCTGTTCAACAACCGTGTGGTGGTCAAGCCGGGGTCGCCGGCCGCCGCTCATCAGGAGTTCTTCCCTGTCACCAACGCCACGCTCCAGAGGGGAGAGACGGCGCAGAAGAACGTTGAGGCCAGCGTAGACCTTGTACAAGAGTGAGTCTTGGGTTTTCCTTTCAGTTTCATACTTGAATTTCTGAGGTTTAAAATGTCTCATATGATATAAAACTACACAACATTCAGGAGGAAGATAGATTTGATATTTATTTTTCATAAATTGAAACTCAATGTAATCTGTACATGAGTGAAAATTTAAAAACGTACGTTTTCAGGAAAAGCACTTTGCAAAATTTTTTCCCCTGTTTTCAAAACTTTTATTATTATTTTTATTTCATTAACATTTGAAGTTTCATAAAATGTCCATGGTAACGCAATATCTTTGGTATTTTTTTTAAAAAAGAGCATCTTTAGTGGAAAAACACAAAATCCTGTCACGACCATAACAGACTTTTAAATGAATATTAAAAATAGTTAATATTATTTTTATAACTATGTTTTGCTATAAACTAATTTACTTTTATGACCATTATACAATAAAAAGGTCACTGAGCTTTTGGTATATTTGGTCTTTCTAGAAAAAAATAAAAAAACTCAAAAACTTGAAAAAAGCCAATAAAATCATTTTAAGTTTGTATAACTCCGAAAAAACTTACCTGAGACCCGAAAAATCGTTATGTTTGTATAGAGGTGTGCTTCTTTTGTGTATAAAACATTAAAATATGACGATATTTTAATTTTTGAAATTTTTATGATAGAAATCATAAACGTGATGGTGAGGGACAAGCGGTACGGTCGTGAATTTTCTGAAATAATCTAAATCTTTCTAAGCAATACTTCAATTATACTGTTAGTTATAATCACACTATAATCCATAAGGCTGGATTGGTCGTGAAAAAAACCGCGATGGTCGTGAAACTTTGGTCGTGAAATTACGTGTTATTTGGCTCTGTTCTGGCGGTAGCCCTGCACCTCATGTTCGAGGATACAAAGTGGACTTCTAGGTTAATCTAGCAATTGAAATATCATATAAACAAAAATTAACACCATGTCTACTTCATCGAATGACTACGTACGGTCATGGACACACCAAAATTACAAAAAACACAATCTTTCCTTTATTAGTCTTGTAATTCCTCCTTTCAACTCGAAACGACCGGCACTACAATCCTGACGTACACCCCGAACTAGTCTCTAAAACCAACTGACTCCATCGACGCCAGGCTTGCCACTGTCGTGCTCCAAAGTTGAAAATTTTTCCCAAATGGTCGTGACGCCAAATCGAGGGACAGACTTATTTTGTCATGGTAGTCAGTTTGCAATGACAATAAAATTATAATATGCTCCTTTTTTGTAAGTTTAATAACCATTGATGACATAAAAATATGGCTTTATATATTTCGACATGAATAATTAGTCTAAAAACAGCGTGAAAGTTGGAAAATGTACCCTAGGGACACGTCATGGTCGTGAATTCCGAGACTTTAAAAATACGAAAAAAATACCTAGAACCTATTTAAAACCAAATAAATGTGTGTAGCATGTTGCCCCCGTCCCAAAAAATAATAAAACACAAAATAATAAACTACAAATCTAGTATCCACGAAGTAAAAGGCCAGGGACATGAAAACGTACGTTTTTAAATTTTCACTCACATATTAAACTAGAACGCGAGTTTCTTTGTTCCCCTTAATGCAATCGGTAAGACCAATACCAAAATAATAGTATTCCTAATAAACCAAAGGGTACAATATATAAGCCTATTGACTGCTGCACGTTTGTGTTGAATGTTCCTTAGCTTCCCCATCAGTGACGAACTTCGATCAAGTCCTCTTTGCAAGTGTCACTGTGTTTCAACACAACTCGTAATCAGACTATTGCAAGCGCCTCATTTTTTTCAGATTCAACCTGTCCCCTGACCAAGGCAAGTTCGCGTTGCCGACGTTCAGCGTGTTGAACACAGTGATCGCCGACTCCTGTCCCCGGCCCTCGTCCTGCGTGGCGGGCAAGTACCGCAGCGCTGACGGCTCTTGCAACAACCTCCGCCATGATCAGTGGGGCCGCGGGGGCGTCGCCCTGCAGCGCATACTGCCACCCAAGTATGATGATGGTAAGTCACATCATTAACATTTGGTGCATCCTGTAGGCCGTAGTGTAGTAATTGTTTCCAATATCTCATTTAGAGTAATACCCCCAAAATACCATGGTAGAAGAAGATGTTCCCAATATTTCTGCGACCGACATTCAGGATGATGCCACGATCAGAAAAGATGTTCAAAAGAGATAGTGTAAAATATTGTATGATCCATACCAAATTTTGGCCCGAGACCTGATGGTCAACATTCTTAACCCAGCCCAATCCAAAGTAAATAATGTCTGACTAGCCCTGCCCCCTTCACCACCAATCATCAGTTATGCTGTAATAGTGCAACAACAACAAAAATAAAACAGCCAAAAATCTATTTGGAGAATCAATATTTATTTGTAGTGTTTCCCAAAGCAAAGATAGTATAAAAGCTTACAACATTTTCTCTAGGGCAAGTAGTTCTGAAATGCCAAGATGCCAGCCTATTAAGTTCCTCCTCAATTGAGGCTCTATTGGTTTGTGTGGATACATAAAGTCCTTTAAAGTACAAAATATCTTCATAAGTGGATGAAACGTAATGTTACTATTTTCATGATTCACTCCTTGAATGAACACAATAAAAGTTAAGGAAATCACTCGGTGATTTAAGTATCTCCAGATAACCTTTAGATCTGTAACCATCATTCTACATGGACACAATCCTGTTGTTGGCAGGAGTGAATGCACCCAGGTCACAGACCAGTAACGGCCAAGAGTTGCCGAGTGCTCGTCTTGTCTCCACCTCTGTAGCCCAGGACAAGGATGACCCTTCAGGCAACTACACTCTCATGGTGATGCAGTGGGGACAGTTCCTGGACCATGACCTCACCCACACACCCATCAACTTTGGTAACTAACAAACTATACATTCAAAACTATCCTTACTCCACTACTATCAACTGTTTGACTAGTGAACAGATGAAAATTAGCTATATGATAGTTAAATTGAAAAGTTCTACAATAGTGACTGATTTAGTAAGACAGTACGGTATACATCAAGAATACTTTTCCATTGTCTGGTAGTGCCTAGAGTGAGTTTGTTTTGATAAAGTTCCTCTCTTGTCTTAGGGTAGGTTGTTACAGTATTTGCATTATTCTTTTGGTCAAACCTTCAGATGACGAGCAATAGTTTATAAATTGATCGTTTTAAAATTTGGTCATAGTAGTTTTAAAGCTAGTAAATAACTAAAAATAAAAAACTAAATCTAGATGGATACTAAGCTTTACTAGTCATAAATAATATCTACAAAAAGCTTTAAGCTTTACCTACGAGGATAATAAACCTATTAGGAAATACTTTTAACTTTAGCTTCCTCTGGAGGCTATGCTAACTCCCAACATAAAGATTCTAAACTTATCTACCATGATCACAGTTGAAGCACATTTCCTTTTGAAGAGAGTTCCATGGTTATATGTTTGTTTTTGAGACGCTTATTTTGTTAAAAAGGCTCATATAAAAACTCTAGGGATGGACGAGATTGGATTTTTAGTTCGAGACGAGACGAGACGAGATTTTTTATTTCTCATAAAATTTCGAGACGAGATCGAGACGAGATTTCTCTTCTCATACACAACGGGAAATGCACGTTCAAAATTTTTACCTGATTTTGTAACATTGTTAGATGACTGTTTAAATACAAAAATAATGATAATAGGCAAGAATATTTACAATCTTTTATTAAATAACATCAGCATAACATTTTTTTATTAATCACGCCTAACTTATTAAAAATGCCTACGATTAGGAAACATGGTGATATCAGTTAGGATAGATTTCAACTTATCCTAAAATAAAATAAATCATAAAATAAAAGCAATATTAATTTTTATAAAATAGTTACTTGTTTTGACTTTTTCATAGTAATAAAACATTCCTCACACTGCTTACACTTAACAAAACTTCTCAAATGTTATTAAAGTAATATTATTAAAATAATGAAAGTAATATTTACATTAAAAGAGTTAAAGTAATATTTACATTAAAAGAATTAATTAAATAAGAACGCCTTCGAAAAGGAAACGCAACTACAACACGCTCCTGTATTGCGGGTATTGCATTGACTTTCTGCAGGCGTTTTTAATTTTTTTTTTTTTTTTTTTTTTTTTTATTCTCGTCTCGATAAAAATCTTGGCCAAAAAGTAATCTCGTCTCGTGTAACGAGATTGAACATTTCCCGAAAATTTCCCGAAATTTCGAGACTTGACCATCCCTAAAAAACTCTGAAAGTGTTTACAAGCAATTGTAACCAACATCAGCATTGGTGTATTGGTAGATAAACATAGAACTAATTACTTTTTTTATGGGAGAGAGTATAAAATTCATTCATTCTAATCTCACCTATGCATCAGTTGTACAGTATATGTATGAACTGTCTCTGATAAAATCGTTATCAGAATCTACCAGTTTTGTGAATGTAGCATATTTATTTTTCCTCAGGTCAGTCGGGTGCTGGAATCTCCTGTTGTAGAGAAGGAGTGCCTCTAGAACCGAGCCTGAGACACCCAGACTGCTTCCATATCGACTTGCCTCGGACAGACAAGATATTCTCCCCCTTCGGAGAGCGATGCATGGAGTTTGTACGGTCCCTTCCAGCCCCCAGACCTGAATGCAACTTTGGTCCTAGAGAGCAGGTGTGTTTAGGGTACAAGATAAGAAACTATCCAACGCAAATGAAGACATTGCAAAGATGACCTTTAACTGTGTGTATAAGATGAATACATCGATTAAAATGTTATTATCATTTTTTATTGACAAGTACATTGTACTATTTCTATACAATTGTATATTTGTATACAATTGACGTTGTCTATAGCAATGTAATGTTGACAAAATGACAATAAATGGATTCTGATTCTGATTCTGACATGTTTTCAAACAGCACACTACTGTAAATTTAACGATAAAAAATTACATTAATCACATAACGTGTATGACAAATATTTTCTATGTCAATAGATGAATCAGATCACAGGGTACCTAGATGGTTCCAACATCTACGGATCAACAATAGATGCTCAGCGTTCCCTGCGGGAATTCCGCGGAGGACGATTGCGTGTGCAGAACCTTGGACGCAAGGGGATGTTACCAGCAAACAGTAACGAGTGTCAGAGTCCAGACCAGAGGCGATCCTGCTTTCTAGCTGGTAAGTTTAGTTTAAGAACTTGTTAAATTATCGACTTTTGAATTCAATCTAAACCATTGAAACACGTAAACAATTCAACTTAGACATTCCCTTTATGCTAAAGTTGTTTCCAGTTTTAGAATAAAAATATGGACGTATTTGTAGAATACACCATATTTTTAACCAAGCCAAAATGAAAGGGCATATTTATAAAAATAACATATTTTATGTCTGATGAACACTCAGAGTTATAAAATGTTATAATCACACAGCGATATTAAAATACACTGATTTGTAAACTACCTGGGTCTCAGCTTGAACTGCCGTTCATTCCAATGTCCTGAGTAAGGGAAGTGCCCAATTGACTTTGGTCCAAAGGTTACGTTTACACAGTCTTTCACCACTTACTTAATATGAGTTTGTTTTATAAAACAAAAACTAAGGACAAAAATAAAATTTTATAATTTTTTACACTTTGTGAGTGCTTTGTTCAACTATGATTTTCAATTGAAAAATGTCTGGTTCATTATCCTCAAGTCAATGATTTGGCTCTCTATTCTATATTTGTTTGGTTGAAAACTTTTGTTATTTTTCTATATTTCATAATTTGTTATTTTATTGTTTCATAAAATGGATGGTAAGTTGATATATTATTACTATGTGTGTAGGTAGTAGAGTGATGGTAAGTCCTAAATCCGATGGTCCTACCTAGTCTTTATTTTAAATCAATCATCTGTGGAGTTATCACTCAGACTGAGACTCATGATAATGTTGTAGGGGACGGCCGAGTCAACGAGCAGGTGAACCTCGCTCTGACTCACACGGTGTGGATGAGAGAGCACAACAGAGTCGCGGCGGAGCTCGCCAGGCTTCACCCGGACTGGAGTGACGAGGCGTTGTTCCAGGAGACTCGCAGGATAGTGGTGGCCGAGATACAGCACATCACATACAACGAGTTCCTGCCAATCATACTGGGTACAGAGAGACATGTTATCTATACGGAATATTTGATTGGTTTTGAGTTCTGATAATATCCTTTGGTCTTCTAAGGAGGCAGGACTGGGGACTAGTAGCAAGAGTGTCGTGTTCCTGAACTGTAGTTATAGGGCTTGAGAATCAAATACCATTATATTCCCTGACCTTTTGGGTCTGTATGAGATTCTAAATTGAAGCCTTATGAAAATTGTAATTACTTTATTGGAATAGTACTCATTTTTTTAATAGGGAATTATTTTTTGGACAGTTCTTTGACAAAATTATAGTTGTACGATATTATACCCATTATTTTGAGACAAAAAAAACGCTGCAGTTTAGTTAACATTATTAAAGTATTTTCACAGACTCAACATGAATAGTACTGTATATAATGTATTATAAATTATGGTTTTAAACATATTTCTCAAAATACAAAAAAAATATCAATACAATCTCTAAACATATTCTTTTTTCAGGAAGAACTTATATGGACAAATTCCAACTTTCTCCAAAAGAAAGTGGATGGACCAAATTGTATGATCCTGAACTAAATGGAGGGATTACAAATGTATTTGCAACTGCAGCCTTCAGATTTGGACACAGTCTTATACAAGGGCACATGCAGTAAGTTTATCATTTTTGTTATCGACCATAGGTACTTAACTAATGGGCCTTCCGTACTCAGTAACTTTGAGTAAGCTTCAAAATACTACACTATCTAATGCTAGCACCTTATAATTGCTATATGTGATGTTTGTACAGTAAGCCGTGTTTAAACGAGGCCATTTGGTGAGCAGGGTACTTGCCTCAGGTAACTTGAAAGACATTAGAGGCAAGTAACCTGCCCTGTTACCTGCCTGCTCTACTTGCCTCGTGTAAAAGCGGCTTTCAGGAAGGTACTCTAAATTACAACTTTTTTCATCATATATAATTCAACAGTTCAAGATGATGTTTCTACTTAAAAATATATATATTCCTCTATTTCAGTGGTTACGGTAAATTTGGCAACATCAGGGAGAACTTGCAGCTAAGCAAGCAGCATTTCATTCCTTTTGTACTGTACAATGAAGGAGCAGTTGACGACATGATCAGAGGGTTGGCTTCCCAGAGTGCTCAGAAGTTTGACAGATTCTTCACAAATGAGGTTTGTTAAGAATGAAATTGTGGGAATTATCTTACATTTAATACAAGTTTTGTTATTTTATTGGTGTTAAGCATAACTCAACCTAAAAATGATTCATAAATTCTAAAAAATAAACCTTCCTCAAGATCAAGTTTATAAACATACTAGCTGTACCCTCGGGCTTTGCCCCGTTTAAGTTCATAAGTATTCGCATGGCTCAATCACGTCCTGGTTGAAGTTCGTTCGCTACGCTCACTCACCTTTAGGTTGGAGCTCGTTCGCTGCGCTCACTTGCCTTCAGGTTAGCTCGTTCGCTACGCTAACTCGCCTCCAGGTTGAAGTTCGTTCGCTACGCTCACTCACCTTTTGGTTGCAAATTAGCTGTTGTCATAAATAAAAAAAAAAAAAATGATAGTGCTGCACCCTGTTGGTAATCCTTGTAACTTTAATGCTATTGAACATCATAGAATAGAACTAACTTGTTTAATTGAAACAGCTGTTAAGATTCATTAATTCCTTTTAAATATGAAAAATCATAAGGTTAACATGGGAAACTCCAGAGCCACTGGGGCGGAGCCCGAGAGTCCGATCAGAATAAAAACTACTTAGTTTTCCTATTTAATGCCTAAAGAATCAGTGTACCAAATTTCAGCCTCCTAGGTAAATGGGAAGTGGGAGAATTAGTGATGAGTGAGTCAGTGAGGGCTTTGCCTTTTATATACTATGGAGCTCGTTCGCTGCGCTCACTTGCCTTCAGGTTAGCTCGTTCGCTACGCTCACTCGCTTCGAGGTTGAAGTTCGTTCGCTACGCTCACTCACCTTTTGGTTACAAATTAGCTGTTGTCATAAATGTAAAAGAAATAATGGTGCTGCACCCTGTTGGTAATCCTTGTAACTTTAATGCTATTGAACATCATAGAACAGAACCAACTTGTTTAATTGAAACAGTTGTTAAGATTCATTAATTCCATTTAAATATAAGTACTCATAAGATTAACATGGGAAATTCCAGAGCCACTGGGGCGGAGCCCGAGAGTCCGATCAGAATAAAAACCACTTAGTTTTCCTATTTAATGCCTAAAGAATCAGTGTACCAAATTTCAGCCTCCTAGGTAAATGGGAAGTGGGAGAATTAGTGATGAGTGAGTGAGTGAGTGAGTCAGTCAGTGAGGGCTTTGCCTTTTATATATATAGATCTTTGATAACAGGTCAATCTGTTATCAGTTTTGGTCCCAGTGGTCCTATTCCCAAAGGTGATTATTGATAGCCTCTGAATTTCTTAGCCTGTTACAAAATTATTCATTCCCAGGTAGTTATAAGAACACAATTGTTCAATAATCAATAATATTTACCTTAGTTTTTACTTGATTTCTTGTGAGATGTTTTGTGCCCCCCTGTGCATTTCTTCACATTATCTGGCATCTTTAGAAGCCTTCTTCAACTAATCTCCTTATCACTAACGTTTACAACAAATTTGCACACACACGATCACTAGTATTTAAATGAAACAGATGAAGAAAGACCTACTGCCGTGATTTCGCCATGTGTTGTTTAGTTGCATTGTCCGATTGGCCCGACCATGACACTATATAGTGACTGTAAATATTTTTGTAAATATAGACTATACCATAGATGAATGTTATATTCATCTATGCTATAAATCTATTATAAATATTATGAATATTTATTCTATGACTATAGTGTTAGTGATAAGAAGTTGAATTCAAGAAGACTCCTGAACAAGCCACACAAGGTGGAGAAATACATAGGTTGACTCAAAGTCAAAGTATTTATTTGCACATAAAATTATATGGGTTATTACAGCAGGTAACACCAAACTGGTGCATTGTCATTACATTTGCCAAACATCTTACAAATATCATTCAAGTTCTTGAAACTGGGATAACAAAAAAAATATGTTCACTATATTTCGAGGTCACGGATCACTTATTCCAAGGAGACCTGGACCTGGGTCTAGACCTGTTTGCACTCAACATCCAGCGAGGCAGAGACCATGGTCTGCCTCCCTACAACGACTGGCGAGAGGTCTGTGGCATGCCCAAGGCTAGGAGCTGGCAGGACCTAGTAGACGTCATGGACCCTCAGGTAAAACATCTGTCATTAAATAATAATTTAAAATGCCTTTATTAACCCAGCATTTCTCAGTAAATAACAGTTTTCCATATCAACTTTCCTGTTAACCAAATAACAAACTTATCAAATAATAAATAATAAAATAACAAACAAATCGCACATGCTACAAAATTAGCAACCTGACAACCTAAGTAATCTAACAGTTTAACAATTACCAAAATAGGTACTGTAAGTAGGGTTCTCTGAAAAAACTTTTTTTTATATTAAAGGGTAGGTCATTATACAGTTTTAGGTCAAAGTACAAGAAGCTCCACCTTCCAAACTCAACCCTCAGTCTAGGAAAGTGAAGCAGGAGACTTCCAGGTTCTGTACCGAGAGAACTCCAGGAAGGGAAGCCCCTCAAGACAGTTAATGTGGAAGACAAGAGCCTGATGTACTATGCAACACATCATGATAATGCAAACCTGTATTCACCAGTTTAATCCCCTGCTAAAGCTCTGTAAAAGAATTGTCTAATATTTTTGATGTATTTTATATCTTTTAACCGTTAACCCACTTGCATAGTATCAAGTACTCAGTACATGTGTGAGAACATTCTTCATGTTTCTTTTGTTGGGTTTTAAGGCCAGTGGTAGGAATTTATTTATATAAAAGTTTCACAAACACATTTTTTTATGTGACACAAACCTGACCTGTAAAATGTTTGTGGATATGCTGGAAACCGAACTCGTCACGATAGCACTGAGGTCTGAGAAGCTAGCCACTAAGTGAGCCTCACACACTATAGGCAAACAAGGATTAAACAACATCCACCCTCATGAATTCATTGGCATTCAAAGATCCTATAGCCTACCTTGTTTGATGGAGCTATTTTTTAGCTAAATCAGTTGATCTACTGTGTTGCAGAGCATCAACAGGCTGGCTGCAGTGTATCCATCTGTAGATGAGGTGGATTTGTTTGCTGGAGCCGTAGCAGAGAGGCCAGTAGAAGGAGCTATGCTTGGACCTACTTTTGTCTGCTTGGTTGGAGATCAATTCTCCAGGCTTCGAAGAGGTGACAGATTCTTTTATGAAGAGGCTAACCAACCATCGTCTTTCACACAAGGTAGTTGTTCAATTTAAACTCAATCAGTTTAGCTTTTATGCAGTAATGATTTGAGGGCTATAAGATTTCAATGTTAGATCTGTTTACCTTGCTATATTTTGTTCAGGGGGCTCAAACTATAAGATTGTACACATGTTTTATTTGAACCTTACTATATTTAATAGCAATACATTTTGAAACAAGGCTTAATTGATACGTTTTTCTAGTTTTACTTTAATCACATGATGATCATAATGATTTTATTAGTCAATATCTTAATCTAAATGTTATTAATTTTAAAACCATTTAGACAACTTTTTTGTCTCATACTTGACTTTGTTAACTAAAAAAGGTACTTTCCTGTTAAAGGGAACATTCATTATTATCGATGATTTTTTCTCGATATATCGATGTTTTTGTTTTCCGATCCATTACAAATTGACAACAACTAACTGATCTTGTTTAGGCTAAAATAGTCTATTATATGGATTAAAAAATAAACTGTTTCTAAGCTAACCTAACATAACTAACCAAACTTGCTGTACCATTTAAGAATTCCGTTTGGGTTTGAATATAAAAGGCAAGTTATAAACACGGAATTTTTAAATGTTACAGCAAGTTTGGTTAGTTATGTTAGGTTATTTTATTTAGAACAGTTTCATTTCATTAATGTTTGTCGATACTGAACAATATTTTTCATAGTTGTCAGCTGATAAGTTTCAATTGTTTAATATCGATATACGGTATCGAGAAAAAATCATCGATAAGAATGAATGTTCCCTTTAACAGGAAAGTACCCTAAAAAATTGCAAAATTAGCAATAGGGAAGTGTTAAAAATTGATTTAATTTTTTGAAAACATTTCTCTTGTTTATTGCAATAGTGAAACCCTTTAGAAATAAATTAATAAGTTTTAAAGCTGTGTTTTGGACTTATTTGTCAGGAAAGCTTCTTCAAAGGGTATTACAATACTGTTTCAGCAATGGTCTGTTAGTTGATGTCACCGTATAATTTATAATAAATAACACAAAAATCAATGTTTTCAGCACAACTAGAGCAACTTAGGAAGGCCAGTTTAGCCAGGATCCTCTGCGACAACTCAGACAACATTGCTCTAATACAACCTTTAGCCTTTGTTCAGCCATCTTTCTTGTAAGTCCATAGTTTCAGATTAACAGAATTACAGTTAAGGGGTTGTTGACACATCACTTAAACAAACGTAGAATGTTTGGAAAGGGGATAGAGTTTTATAGATTAATACCTGAGAAAATTAGTCTACTCTTGAGTAGAAAAGATACACAGTAAAAGATGACAAAACATAACATCCTAAAATAGGACTTCTCAGGAAAATCTACTCTGAAGCCCAACTCTGTTCAGTAACCATTATCTCTGTCCTCTAACCTTCTCAAATAACCAAGCTGAGTTCTATCACTTTGCAGAAATCTTACCAGCCACTTGGCTTTCCCTCAAAATATTAAACACGCATAGGTGGGAAGTGTGGTTATATTTTATACCTATTCATACAGTAATTGTCTTGTGGCTTGCAGGAACCAGAGAGTGGCTTGCTCCAGTGATGTAGAGGTGCCCAGAGTCGAGCTTCATCCCTGGACTCAGGAGCGACCAGCTGTCTGACGAACCAAGACTGGAACACTTAGTGATCACCTCATTGTAATATTTATTGTCTACAAAAAACAACTCTGTGTAAACTCATGACTTTCAGTTGCACCTCTTTCAATTCCTGACAGTTGTTTATATATGTGTGGTCTGTTAAGCACATATTTCAGCAATATTTTTACCTTCAGCAAACGGTGCTGATACTTTTCAATTGTTATTGCCAGATGTAATAAAAAGTATGTCTATGTCATGAGAAAAAAAAGTAGACTGACTTCAGGGCAGTACTCATTACCGTCATTACTGACCTTTCTACCAGGGATCAGTATACCAGAAAATAATCTGATCATTTACTAAATATATGTATTTGATACAGAAAGGTGTTTTGATGTAACATCCCATTCACAGCTGTCCTACTTAACCGATTTTCAAGATTGAGTTGTAATTTTCAAGATTATGATCTAGCCCACATGCGAATGGTATTTCATAAGTTAATTTTATGACTTTGCCCTCCTTGTGTTTATAAACTATTTCTAGAGTTTACTTTCACAGAACCAGTGTAGTTGACCAACTTTCTTTATTACAGTTTAATATTGTAATCCAACAGCTTGCTGATCAGTGGAATTTGTAACCAGTCAGATTGTAAACAAAGGACAACAGTTTATGAAAACTGATTTTAAAATGGACTACTTTTTTATAGCTGTAACCAGATTGAGGTGCTGTACATAAATTTCTTTTATGTTGTAGGATCTAAATTGTCAAATCAAATTTAAATTTTTGTAAATTAGTAGTTTTATTCACCTAATAACTGTATCAAACAAATATAATCTTAGAGAAGTAAAAAGGTGTTGAATTATTGGTTTTGCCTTGGAATTAAACCCTATAAAAAGTGTAATTTGTGCACGGGTCCCCTATTATACTTCTTCTTCTTCTTATTATACTTCTTATATTACTTTTGTTTGAATTTAGAGTATTTCACATATAGAAATTTGGTTCTGTCCATTTAACAAATATTTTTACACTTCTCATTTTATTCTCATATAAAGTTCCTCTCTAAATTGTAAACTTTGTAACAGTAAAGCTGTAAAGGTATTGGAAACAAAACTTGATTATGATTGTAATGATATATTTGACAGCATTATCTTTGGTCACAAGTATCATAGTAAATATGTATATCAGGACCATCTTGAAATGACCTTAACATTTTACAAAATGAGCTATCCTACAGGTAGTAGGTTTGAGTAGTTGAATATGCAAAATATTTACAATATAAAGAAATGCCATGTACTATTTTAAGTAGACATCTTTACAAAACATTTACAAAAGCAACAACAATAGTAGAAACTTTAAGTACAATTAATCACCACAGTTTGGATTTGCAATTACGCTAGAATCCTTTCTCATTACACGGCTATTTTTAGTATCAGTGGATTACTGGATTATACTATATGCAATAGTTCTTGCAAGAGTTATCTATTATGTAATTCTTCTAATACAATGTACAAGACTTTGTTTTTCAGTCAGTGGGATGATGACATAACAACATCATTCAGCGGATGGAGAATCATAGCAAAGAAATACTATAAACTAGTTAGCTTTGTCTTTTTGGTATAATATTGAGAAAATATAATCATTAATCAAAATTTACTCTTAAATTGTATGTAAAAAGAATATGGAAAGTAAATAAAAACATGTCTCATAACATTAATTATTAGACATTTTTTTATTTACTTTCTGTAAATTTAACAACTCATACAATGGTGATCAAGAAATTATTTGTTAAAAAAATTTAAAATTGTACACCAAAAAAATAAATTTTGGTTTACCTGCTGAATTTCCAGTTCATATTGTACTAAGTTAAGGTTGGCTAAGCATCATCTAAAGCCATGATTTATTAGACATAACAAGCGAGTATAATAATTTGATTTCCACTCGACCGAATCAATTCTATTTTGGTTCTCTAATACATCCACAGCGTTTAGCACTTTTACATGATAATAATTTATTTTATCTGCCAAAAATTTTTAAAAAACGCAGCATGAATATTTTGACTGATTGTCCAGTCACACTGGTAAATATATGATTGAAAAACTGTTATAGTATGATCTACAGTTTTCTTACGATATTAAATAGGATGAACTACACTGTAAGATTGAATATACGTAAATTCCCTTACGTATAATTTTAATATACTCAAACAATACACAGTAATGGAAGTAAGATCATGATTGTAATATAAACTGCAAGATTTTATTATTACTGTTTAAACCTAACCAGTCTTGTAATTTATCATTCCTTATAACATATTTACAGTTAAATGAGTATTGTATGTTACAATGTTATAAAATATTTTAAATTTACGAATAATACATGTTTATATCAAGTTAAATACATTCTGATGACATTTTTATCTAGCTTCTCGTAAAGATCAATTCAAGAGAGGTGTAATTACACTGAAATATGAATTAGCATTATTTTAGTAATAATAATTATCAAAATAAATGGAACATAAGAAAGTAAATCAAAAATATATCACCATGTTCAGATAAGGATTGAAAAGTTGTAAAAATTGTAGAATAATTTGATACATATTATAAAGCCTATCTTTTGAATTGGCAACCATCCAATGCATTAACATTGTGAAAACGAAAGACAGCCTAAGTTTGGGTCTCAAAAATTAGAACTACTCCATTCATGTAGGAAAATTACAACATCTAAAGCAATGTTAGCTGTGATACGTTTAATGATTTTGGTCACTTTTATACTACTAGCTTAACATCAAGAAATTAGATTACTGGCAATATAAAACATCTACAACAGGGTTAGTTAGAAAAATATAGAAATCCCCTCCTTAAAAGGTTTTGTGAAAAGAACAAAAAGTTATTTCAAACAAACTAGTATAGTATTAATTTTTACCTTTTAGTAAAGAATTTTGCAGACTGATTGTTAAACAATTTTAGGAAACCCAATTTTGCTTTTTAGTGATTAACGTTCAGACAAATATGCATTCAGTAAAATCAAAAACCACTAAAACACTGCATATTCACACTTGTAACAGATAAATGTTTTGTTTTCTTCTCTTGTTAAAAATGTCATCAAAAGTTAACTTCTAAAACTAATATAAATTATCATTCTCTATCTATGTACACTATGTTTAAATAACTAAGTGTCAATGTTAAAATTAATATCAACAGTCTTACAACAATAAAAGCAGCACCAAAAATCATTGCGGCGACCACACACCTTACTAGAGTCCAGGCGTAAACATCACTCTCAGCTGATAAAAACAATGTGTATTTACTACCATTTAGATTATTGTAAACAACATTTTGCTACAAATTGTCTTTAGCAAACAATAGGTTACCTACTACATATGTTTACATATTTTACATGTAAAAATGTTGCTATAATAAGTTATCGAAAATCAATTTAAGCATTAATAACGTAGACTAATTTTATTTATTTAGCAATTTTCACAACATTTGAAAATCAGATAAAGATTTAGTTCCATTCTGGTTAATCTTATTTATTTTTTTGGGCAGAAATTTCTTTTGACGCCCCTGCTATTTCATTCTAAGTTTTTGGCCCCATTTGTTGGGTCTCCCACTTACTTGCTTTAATCTAGCTATGCACTATAATTATGTAAATGCTTCTACTTAAAATACAAATACCCTTCTGTTAACTAGTAATAAACATAGTATCTTGATAAAATTGGTGGACAAACGAGGTTTTTAAACGCTTAGAATAAAAGAATATTTTGTTAAAAATATAATTACTTCAATAAGCATTATATTTATATTTTTGTTACTTTTTCTTTTAATATGTTGCTGGACATTGGAAGCAACTACTTATTTCCATTAGTATTTTTGTCTTTAATTGAAAAGTAAATAATTACTTTACTGGCAATGGTTACAATTAGATTTATTTCATGAAACTATCGCATGTTCTTTGTAAAAGAATCTGGCTTAACACTACTTTTAAAACATAAGTATTAGTTAACTTTAAATTGTATTCTTATTGACAGCAAGAAATACAGGGTGTTTATAAAAGAATGCCGAGATTTTAAATGGTAATTGCTTGGATACTATTCAAGGTAACTAAACGTTTTATATGTCAAATTGAAGCTAAAACAACTAAGTTTAGTTTCCCATGTAGCAAGGGAGGAAACTTTGACCTTGGCATGCCCAAAACAGGTGTGGGTGGTAGGCAGCTATGGTGTCTCACACGCCTGACGCCAGTCTCCAGTACGATGTTTACAGCGCAACAAAAAAATCGATTGCCCGACGAAGTCTTCAGTTGAACATACCTAAATCAACATTTCATGATGTTATCTGTAAAAGATAGAGTCTTTGTGCCTAAAAAGATTCAGTTAAGACATCAGATAAACCCGCCAATTGCCCTAAGCGCACAGACATAGCCAGTTTTACGCTCGTATAAGATTGATGAAAATCATCTGAATTTTATTAAATTATTCCGAATTGTATCAAAGTATGAGAAAAAACTTTGCTCTTTTCTCTTCAGTTTAACGTTCAAATCATTTAATTATCTTGAATAGTCCCTGAGCAACAATTGTTTAAAATCCCGGCATTCTTTTATAAACACCCTGTATATTGTTCAAGAAATAATTTTCAAATGTTTCTATTCTAGACTAAATAATAATGATGAATAATCACCAGCCATTTGATTCTTAAATGCACAAAGGCAGCATATACATTACTTAGTTAAAATGGTTATATTACTAATATGTATATATTATATAGCATTCGGAGCATTTAAAAACCGTAAATTTGTGACAAATTCAAATAACCAGTTATACCAATAATAAGTAAGTTAGTCTATAAATTGTGCAAAAAATTCAAATGTAAAATTTATTCCTACTAAAAGTTTGTATAGACTAAATTAAAACACACTGCTATACAGCTACAACTAAAAAAACAAAAAAAACTGTACAATATAAATAAAGAACAAGCTAAACTTCTCTGTTATATACAAACAAACACAATCTAGGAGCAAGCTTTTAAATACACTAACAACTTTGTACACATTTTATCACATAGTTAATGTTTAAATACTATAATATAAATATTAAACAATATTCAATAAACTTCGATAACTAACAATGACGGAGGTGACTTAGACTTTAATTTGGTTGTACGGACAGTTTTGACATCGTCTCTTGTCGCGGGCCTGTCCTGGGGTCAGTGACCCTTAGCTGGGTTGGGGCTGCTGCTCGATGACCGGTGCTGGCTTGTGAAGGATGCTCACGGGCCGAGCATTACCAGCGTTGCTTTTCTTCTTGCCCTCCCTCTTGCGCACCTCGTGTGGAGACTGCAACACTTCGGTGTACTCACGAATCAGGTTAGCAATCTGGAACGCCTTTGGAGAAACGGAAAAAAACATAGCAAATAATAGCATACTTGATATATAGTTTTTTTAGGCGAAAGAGGAGACAATCTTTAAAACTGGGAAATATATTTTATGTTTATAAAAGTTTTTGTAAAACTAATATTGCATAAAAGATAAAAGACAAAGGAAATATTTAACTTTAATATAATAAAGTTCTGGTTCTATTGCAGTGTTCTCAGTGTATAAAAGCTAGGCCTTTAAATCCTACTCCTACTATTACCAAATCTTTTTTTTTTTTTATCTTTTAAAGTAATTTACATTAATCATCTAATGTGCAAAAACCCAAGCAGAGAATTTTACTTTTGAGATTAAAAACACAACAAAGGAATGAGAAGAGTCGGATATAATTAGTTGACCCAAGTGAGACATGTGTTGGGAGTTTACCTGAGAAGTGGTGAGAATGACTTTGCTCTGTTTCTTGTCGCTGCCGGTGATGATCATGAGACAGTTGAGAGCAGGAGAGTATGTGAGAATACTCTCGTACTCGTAGCTGCAGAGAGCGTTACGAGACCGATGCTCCAACAGATGCAACCCCGCCTGGTCCACAGCGAGCCACAGCACTCGCGGCCAGTTGCTGGTGAAGGATTGCTGTCACATAAATATACGAATTAACTAAATAACATTTAGATATAAATGACACCTTATCTTGTATGCAAAGTCGTAAAGCTATAGGCTACAATTATTTTATTTTATTTCTCTAAAAAGGATAGCTTTGACTATTGATAATATGTGATGTGGAAAGCGAAAAGGGACCTCTTGTCGGTGATGCAAAACTTTCAGTATGGCCGATATAAGTAATTAAGGTTGAAAATATTGAAATTGGGTTTTTTATCAATTGTTATACCCCATTTAACATAGAACAGGACAGTATTGGATAAAATATCAAATTGAAAATGTAGTAGGTAGAAATAAATCATTTTTTTAGCCTCTGCACAGTCTGAGAAAAGGTACCTCTTGTCGCTCAATGTTGTTTCGCCATAATGACAATAGGTACCATTTTTAATATTCACTTTATAATCAGACATATTCTGTGAGTGACTCATTCAACTATGTTCTCTTTCTTTTCCTATTCTATAAAAAAACAGACGACAGCTGGTCCATATAGATTGGATGTCTACTTCCGTTCAGTATCCTAAAGCCAAGGAAATTAGTTAACTAATTTAACTATTACATATGTGGATGCAGGCTTTGATCTTTGAAGTATTAATTAATGTTGTTAATGGGCCATTACAAACACACCTTAAGGAATTGGCATCAAACCAATATTATATTTGCACAAAACAAAACAACAAATAAAAGAACAGGAATAATAATTTAATCAGGTCTGTTGACAACCGATGTGAAAGAATTAGTTGCCGTACATCCTAAAAGTTTTTGTATGGTTATTAATAACTTTGCATATGAAATGTATATAATTGAGGGGACGGGTGGCGTCGTCCTGTAATCCAGCTACTAGGAGGTCACGAATTGTGGATATTTATAGGCATGCACTGTGGATGCGATGCTCCCAGGTGTGGATTAACGTCCACCCGCACTAGTGAGAACTACAACTATCCGCAGTACTATCCTGATAATTAGACCAATTCGTTAATTACAAGGAAAAATGTGGTTCGGATTCCACAATAAACTGTAGGTCCCTTAGTTGCCATTAGCTGTATGGGCTATTAATTAACAGCTGTGTCTAAGGAATATGTCGGCCTTAGTCACTAACAAGACTACAAGATCGCGCCACTCATCCACCACTCATATTTGGGTTAAAATACGCACATAGTAGCGTCCCCATCTTAAATAATTGATAATAAAATAATTTATTTAAATTAAACTGTAATTTTGATTTAACCTCCATTATTTTTCACAGTTCTTGATCTATAAAATGTTTTTCCAATACTTTCTGTACAAACACATTAAAGTAAATGAGTACCAATTATTATAAGTAAGTAGGTAAAACCAGTGAGTGAGAATGTCAATCCTTTACAGAAGTAAAAATTCTTGATTTACCATGACATCAAATATAGTAGCTCTGTGCAGAGGCCAGCTTCTGATGAGGTTGAGGAAAGCCTTCTTAGATTCAGCTGGTGTCATGCCTGCGAGGATCTGATGATGTTTCATCACTCCCTCATAGGAGATACTAGGCACAATCCTGGCTGGCAGACAGTGGCTTGCTATGATCCTGTAGTCTATAATGTTGTCCTCCAAGTCTCCTATCTCCACCTGGGACTGCAGTGCCGCCAACACCATCTGATACAAACAAATAAGTATCTAGTTAGAAAAATGTAATATAAAATATATTAGGTTTCATTGTTTAGCTAAGCTGGTCTTTTAAGTGAGAGGGAGAGCTGGTCTAGAGGTAGATCTCAGGACTTTGTTCCCCAAGGTCTCGTTTCAAATTCCATCAATCACCATTTGTTGTCACCTTTAAATTACTAAGGTCTATGGCATAAAAATAGCAAATAAGTCTATACAGCTTTTATTTCATGTTTGAAAATTTGATGTACTTCCATTCCGCTTTTAATTAATGATCCCTGATGATAGTCTGGATGATCCTTGATAATCATACCAGATGATAATCTGGTTATCATTACTAACTACTACAATCATTATAATTAATGAAATGAAATGAAAATGCTTCTTTATTGAGGCGAACTTAGGACCACATGGTCCTTTCTTACAGTTAACCTCTAAAAAACTAATAATAACAATAAAATAATAACAAAAAATACAATAAAGTTTGTAACATAGCTAGTAATAAAATGGCATAAATCTATTCACCTTCCCTAACATACAGTCACATACACATACACCCTCTGCTGCATCTAGGCTTAATGCACGCCATCCCGCCAAGCCACGGCCATCCGGTCAAGGTAATATTCTTTCAGCGCCACCATCAGTCGGGATCGGCTTTCTATAGATTTTATGGGCAAAGGTATGGAGTTCCATAGGCGGCAGGCTGTTACTAAAAATGATTTATTATAAACAGTTGTTCTATGATGAGGAATGCGAAGCGTGGACGAGCCAGAGCGGGTATCCCTTGCGCCTCTTCCATTCAAAAATTTAAAATTATTTGCAAGATAATTTGGAATTCCAAGATTGATGACTGAATGAGTAATGGAAAGTATTCGTATTTTTCTGACGTCCTCTAATTTCAAAATTGATTCATTAATGTAATAGGGTGTGACATGGTCATCACGCCTAAGATTGAACAAGAATCAAACACAATAATTTTGTACACGTTGCAATTTTGTTGCCAAAGCCACAGTCATATCATTAACCACAGTGTTGCAGTAGTTGAAGTGTGGAAACAAGAGTGATTTGACTAGTAAGAGTTTAATGTGAAAAGGTAGAAGTCGTTGCATCTTCTTCAGTGTGTGAACAGCGGCAAACACTCTTTTACAAGTGCTTACCACCGCGTTAGTCCAGTCCAATGTGCGGTCCAATAATTAATCTGTTTTAACCAGTATTTTTGCAGAACATCCGTATCAAATGGAACAATGATATTTTCCAGTTAAATAAAGTAATCATGTATTGTTTGTTTATTGTTTGTTACATTGATGGACGTTGGTCTGTTACTAATGGTCATCAAAGACAGCAGAACGTACCGCCTCATCCTCGGTGACTGGGAACCTATCGGATCGCAGGCTATGCAGCACTTGATGGTACAACAGTTCCTTCTCCACAGGGTCATCTAGATCCATGTATTGGTCTAGGAACAGGTGTTTCTTGAACAGGAAGAAGTGGTGTTGCTTGCGTGTAGGTTTGTTAGGCTGCCCTCCAGTGTTGGTGGCGTTGGCGTTGCGGTACTTCTCCCATTTGGACATCACATCTGCAACTTTCTCCTCTGCTACCAGACTTCGCTCTGAATTGCCGAGTACTTCGTAGATGGCATAGCCTGAAAAAAAATTGTAGTAGTTTATCTAGTAAGAATTTGAGGGAGTTTTCTTGAGGACTGCTTTCCCTTGAATGTGTTTAATATTCATGAAGAATTCAAAAATATCAGTAGGCCGCAAAAAAGTACTTTTGTACAACTCTGCATTAGTGAAACAATGAAAAAATTGTAGAAACGACAATTTTTTATTTATTTCAAGCTAATCAAAATAAATTAAAACCACCACCAAGATTTTTGACCAAAATTTTTTCTTTCGTCACATAAAAAAGTAAGTAACAAAAACATTACAGAGCTTCAAAAGATATTAAAACGTGGATTTTTGCAGCTACTTGAACATAGTAAATGTGTTTAAATAATTCTAGTGACTCATGTTGGTTTGCCTACCTTTGGCTGATTCTCTGAGGCCAATCTTGGCTTTGACGAGTTCCATGACGTCCTTGGCTGTGGCTGACGGGTGGAACTCTACCGCGTGATACTGGCCGTCCATGAAGTGGAACCTGGCGTAGATGGGCCGTCGGTTGATGGTACACATGATCTCTTCACGCGAGGGCGGCCACTGGCGGCGACGCGTGCCTTGCGTCTTGGTTAGGCACTGCAACATCAACAGTTATGTGTCAAAGTACAAAATTAGTTCTTCACTTTATGTCAAGACTAAGAGAAAATATTATATTTGAGTATTGGCAAAAGGGTTAAGAGTGTTAAGGGAGTGTGTAAAAAGAAATAATGGCCACAAAACCCCCAAACCAATAAAGACCATTGTCCGCAAACATTACTAGTTTAAGTTCTTCCCTTATTAAAGAAAAATTAACCTGGAATTCAGTCCTTAGCTGAGCAACTAAATGATGTGTAATACTATTTTATAATTTCCACACATTAGCTTAGAACTGATGGAAACTAATTCGAGACTTTACAGTGTTGTAAATATCTCCATTCATAAGCTTTGTGGAAGTGAATTTTTAAATTAATGAATTACTTTTGGCACTATGGGGATAGCCAGTCTATGTCTATTGCCTATAGTACACACTATGAAAACTCAGTTTCAAGTTGAAAACCATAACACATATTGAGAATACAAAATGTTGAGAATATTGTTAACTAGAAACATGTTTGTTTACTCATTAGTTAACTTTAATCACAGTTTTATAGGTGTTATAAAATGAGTTCTTGCTTCTAATAAAGGAGCACATATTTTATGGTTTTGCACTGATATTTAGAAGAATTGTTTATAAACTGTACTGAATTGACCAAATCACAGCAGAATGTTTATTTTTATCTACCAGGGCCGGTTCTAGGAATTTTTCAGAGTTAAGCGAACACCCGAATCAGCGCCACTTAGGATTCCCCCCTCCCCTAAACCAATAACATGACATAACCGTATTTGTGAATTTTTTCCCAATAATTTTGGGAAGAACTTTTTTACAAGTTTAGGTTAGAAGAATACTTACAATAAAAGACTGTTTATTATTCGTATAAATTTAACATTTTTACACTTTTACTCATCATATAAACTTTAGCAAAACCAATTCCACACTAAAAAAACAGGCCGTAATCAAGGCCACACTAAAAACAGGCCGTAATGCTCGTCAATCATGACGTCACGATAGAAGACGGCAATGACGTAATTAAGGTTATATTTTTGTTTTCCATGAAAAGATTAAAACAAGCAACTGATCACAAACGGTAAACATTACATCATTGCCGTCTTCTATCGTGACTTCTTTGGGCTGACTGGACTCGCCACCAGATGATTTAAACAAAAATCTACTCATTGATTTGGCTTGTTTTTTATCTTCCTCTTACAAATTTGCCTTACCCTTTTTATAATAAGTGCCAGACGTTTTGTTTCTGCCATTGTTTTCTTAGTATCGGCTCGCTAGATGTTTTACTCATTCATTCAGTTTATACTTTCTTCTTATTTAATGCGCTAAATATAAATTAAACTTAAAACACTCGTAATCATTCACTTATCAACAATCATGAATCATCAAAACAACGTCATTACGATACCGATACACGCTAATACACTAAAAGAGTGCAATACAACGTAGTGCTCTGCTCTAGGATAAAAGTCAGAAGGGAGGGGGAAGTTTCTTGTGACAATTGGCGCTGCGCGCTTGCTTATCTCATCTCGAGCATGAGTGAGTCGTGAAATGAAACCCAAAGTACAGGCGCCGCGCTGTACGCTGCCGAGCGTCAGCTCACTACAAAATCGAAACTGCAAATGGCATTGAGTCCTTGAGTTGTAGTGCTTTACAAATATACACATTTTTCAAGTGCTGTTGGTACAAACAGAATTAATGCCTTTATTGTGGTATACTGCTTGAACTCCGAGCGAAAATAAACAAAATTACGTTGTTCACGTAAAAAAGTTGTTCCGTTGGCGACACGGCGCCACTTTTTTGTGGCGCCATATGCGGCCGCGTAGTTCGCGTATGGGTTAAACCGGCCCTGTTAACTACAGGTACCAAAGGGGAACTAAGAAGACTTTTATAAGGGATGAATCACACTTCTACTATTATTATTCTGATACAGGGTAAGTGTGAGTCTGCAGTACAAAAATATATCTAGTCATTAATAGTAAAATGTAGTTTTAAGGCTCCACCTTCATCAACGAGCAATAGCTAGTTTTTTTTTTTTTTTTTTTACTCAACAAAGCATGATTAGTTTTACCAAGTTCTTCTTAGTAAATCTAGCTACAGTTTTAACAAGTTAATGGAGTCATATCACAGAAAAATATTGCAAATTTGAAATCTTTCCAGAATACATTTGAAAGCTTTTTATTACAAAAATACTTTTATCATTTTCTTTTTATCGATATAGTTATTTTAAAAGACAAACTTCAGAAAACTATTTTTCAGGTACTGCAGACTCCTTATCAGTGAGTGTGCTAATGGTAACTGATATCAGGGTTAAGTCTGTGACTGTGTTGGGGAATTGCACTCTCTACTTGCTCTTGGCCAACCTGACACTGGGAGAAGATGATCTGTGGAAGTGGATTTATTATCACATCCACTGTGAATGACTTAACACACTGGAAAACCTGATCAACATAAAACAGCTGTAGACTTTATCAAGTCAAATAATCCATTCTTTGATTAATACACTCTAGTGAAAAAGTGGACTGTGGATTTAACTATACAAATTTCAAACAGGACCATTTGTATGTGCATTTAAACACTTAATAATTACACCTTGATAGAAAATCGCAATACCTACTTACATTTAAATCTGGAGGCTTTTTTAATACTACTGTACTAGAATTTTCTTAATACAGGGTGGGGCAGCATAACTTCCTTTTTTTAACGTGCGCCATTTTGTTTGTTGACGTCATAGCAGAGCGCTAGTAGTCTCGTTTAAGAGGCATTGTTGTAAAGTTTTGTGTTTGCAGAGTTCGGTTGACATTATGCGTTGGAACTGTGAAGAGCGTGCGTTTGCCGTTGAGGCCTACTTTTCGAGTGGATCTTCAGTGATCGCAACACAGCGCGCCTTTCGGAATAGGTTTAATTTAGCCCCATTGGCCCCTGTTCCGGACCGTAAATCAATTGTTATGTGGGTCACTACGTTTAGACAAACTGCGAATGCAACAAAACGAAGAACTGGAGTCCCACGGGGCCTATTAGATCACCTGAAAACATTGAGGCAGTGAGAGCTTCAATGTTGCAATCACCAAGGCGTTCAGCGCGCAAACATGCATCTGCCCTTGGACTTTCCAATTGTTCTGTGAGGAGAATTCTCCACGAAGACCTACATTTCCATCCATACAAGATGGCGATTGTGCAGGAACTGTCAGAACGTGACTACAATAATCGGAGGAACGCATGTGAGGTTTTTCTGGATATCGTTCCTGAGGACGCTATTGTGTTTTTTAGTGATGAAGCCCATTTTCATTTGTGTGGGTCTGTAAATAAACAAAATATGCGCTACTGGGCTGACACTAATCCTCGAGAATTACATGAGGCCTTTGCACTCATCTAAAGTGTCAGTGTGGTGTGCAATTTCCTCAACTTCAATTATTGGGCCCTGGTTCTTTGAGGAAAATGTAGTCGCAGTGACAGTGAATTCGGCCCGGTATGTGAACATGTTGCAGGAATTTCTTTTCCCACGACTAGATGAGGTGGATTTGGGGGACATTTGGTTCCCCCAAGATGGTGCAACGGCCCATACTGCAAGAGCATCGATGGCTGTTTTGAGGGAACACTTTCCAGAGCGCCTTATTTCAATCAGGGGTGATTTGCAATGGCCGGCTCGATCACCCGATTTGTCCCCTTGCGATTTTTTTCTATGGGGTTTTTTGAAGTCCCGTGTTTATGTGAACCGTCCAAGAACCCTCCAAGACTTAAAGAACAACATCCAGGAAGAAATTGCCAACATAACACCTGCTATGCTTGAAAGGGTATTGACAAACACCAGAAATCGGTATACTCAATGTATTCAGAATGGGGGACGACACCTACATGATTTACTGTTCAAAACTACATAAAACATAACTTTATGAATGTGCTTCCAATGTAAAAACCAAATAAAGTTTGACTGACCCATACAATGCGTTTTATTAAGTTTTTAAAAAAGGAAGTTATGCTGCCCCACCCTGTAGAACATTTAAGTGTATGGTATCAGCTCACACATCACAATCATGTTTCCAGTCTAAAATATCTGACAAAATTGTGAGTGTGTGTGAGTGTGTGTTAGTTAAGTAAAATCTGAGTAAAAAACCATTAATCAGTTTGCATAAGCATCACTTTTGTCATTTACTATCCAGATCCATCTATCCAAAGCAAAACAACCCTGCTTCATCTGGACCATAAAGATGACCTAAGCCTGGGTCTTGGTAAGGCTTGTAAATGGTAGCAATTTACTATTAATTACTTCACTGTCTAAGTTAGAGTTCCACAGGTGCATTGCTCATCCACAAGTCCCCACTTATACCTCCAGGGATTACACTTACCAGGTATTGCCTATTAGTAAGAAACAAGATTAATCAAACCCACCAATACTGTGGGGACAGGAGTGTTAAAAAAACTCTTCAAATGGATTTTTTTATTCACAACCATCATATGGTACCATAATTTTACTGAGTACCTACTCAGATTGAGTACTCCTGTGAGTAAATTGTAAAAGTGCGGTCTCAAGATTATTGAAAAAAAAAAAAAAACAGATCGCCCGTACTTTCCAATCCCAGATAATACATCAGTTAATAATTTAAATATATGCGTCTTGTCAGTAAACAATTTTCCTCACCTTTTCTGCAAACCTGGCGTACTTGCCCTCCTCCGTGACACAGTCGCTGGCGCAGCGCCGCAGGTGGCTGATGAGGTACTTGCGGATTAGTCGCTGGGGAGGCAACACTACAGAACAAGCCAGGGACAGCAGAGCCCAGTGGCGCAGGTTCACTCTACTGTTGGGGTCTGGGTGTTCCGTCGTCTGCTTCACCAGCTGTAGGTACAACTCTCCAAGCAGTGATTCTTTCCTCATGGCGAGCTCCATCACGTTCTGGATCAGGTTGATGTGTTCATCTTCTGCTCTACGAACTGTCTCGCCTGTTTAAAAACAACACTCATCTTAGACTTTGTCTATAACAATATTATTTCATGTAACCATTTTGAATTATGTCATTGTTTTATTTTTAACACGTTGACTGCTAACGCCGACTTTAGTCGGCGTCGCTAGCACTTCAATGTGGCGCGCGACGACAAAAGTCGGCACCAGACCAACAGAAATAAATTGAGTCAGTGTGAGCTTAGCCTCAGACGGAGACGTTATAATCGTTGCCAGACTGCCAGCTTGGAATGCGAGCTTTACTTTGGTGTAGGTTGGTACTAAAATTTCCCGTAAAATCCTGTCTGGCAATGCTTTTGTCCCGGTTTCGGGAATTTTTTCACTTCAACCCACATTACAAAGACACTGGATACGGATCCGTGCAGTGCTGCTACCTTTGGGTGTTTCAGTGAACTACATCCACTTCGGGGTAACGCAGCACAGTCACCACTGCTCTTTTGTGATTCGTCAGACTGAAATATTTGAATGCCAATTGTGTTCGCTGATTCGGTTGCGTGGCGGGGCTTCGCCCGCCACTGGGGAACGCCTGTACGTTGTTTTCAGCAGTCAACGTGTTAAAATGCTTGAAGCACTTTAAAAACCGTGACGGATTTTAATATTGATGATATTATCTTTTCAGAAATAAATACTAACAATGTTTTGGAAAGTTCCTCTAATTCAACCAGTCCTGCGTTATGAAACATAAAATTTAGCTCTCAACCAAAACTCAGAAAAGAAATCAATAGTTTTTTTTAAAAGTGTTAAGAAAAATGAATGGTCCAATAAATGAAAATGGTGGATGGAGAGAGTTAGATGAAATAAAGAGTTAAGAAACCTTTAACAACATCCGTACATAATAGCTATAATTAAAAGCAGAAGATTAAGATGGCCAGGACATGAAGAGGAGACTCGAAAACACCCTTAACAAAGAAGTATTTCAAAGGAGACCTGCAGGCACCAGACTGCTAGAAAGGCTTAAACTAAGATGGAAAGACCGAGTGGCAAAAGACCTGAGGAGTAATTTGGGAGCAAACCGAAGACCGAGAAGAATGGAGGCGAATTGTTGCGGAGGCTATAAACCTACTTCTGTTTGGTTTGAATGGCCACAGCAGAGAGCTAAGGTAATTTCTTTGATTATTCCACATAAGAAATTTAAAATGTACAGTTTACTTTGAAACAATTCAATTATTGTATTGTATTAGCACATACCTAAAAGAGATTAGTGTTTAGTAAAATTTGAAACCAGACATCAGGCACACAATTCCTGCAATCTAAACACTGGTCCAGTCAGCAGCACCTCCAGTTCTCCTTGAATCCAAACGGTGTTATAGGAAATAGTATCTGAATCAATGTTTACTTACCATTCTGCCCAAGCCCTGCGTAAGTGAGTATGATCTGGTACATCTGAACGGCTATCTGCTCTTCCGCCTCTGGCATCTTCATGAGACTCTGGGTCATTGGTTGACGACCAAACGCCCAATAGCTGAGGGAGAATCCTTTGTAGTTCTCTGACACACCACCGTAATCTGCTCTTAGCTTCTCCAGACCATGCCTGCTTAACCTGTGACAAAAATATAAGGATGAGAATATATGTAAAAATAATCATGAAATAAAAAACATAATTTAAACACCAAGGAAATTTTCTTTTCCTAATTATTAACAAAAGCAGGAATTATTCATCAATTGGTTATGTTGAAAGTGTAAATGAATTATCGTTGAATATTGTTAAAATGAATAGTAAGAGTAAATTCAGACTTTTTAATTGATTCCAAATATATGACTGTATCAAGTAAACATTTATCATTACCTTCGTAATGTGTTCCTGATGAATCCACCTCCGATTTCTTGAGGTTTCCTCAACATTTCACTGTCAACCAGAGCTCTTCTGCAGTTTACTACATTGTGGTAAAGTCTTATGCGGTCTTCATTAGTCATTGCTTTTACCTGCAAAAAAAGAAAAAGTTATATGCATGGGTTATAGGTAGGCCTATGGGCAAAGTTTTGGCGGTTTTGAGATTCGGTTTTGACACATCACTAATTAGAATCGTATTGGACCTAACTCATTTCTCATTTGGCTATAACTGATGATGCTTCCTATATATTCCATTCACAAAATTTTGGCGGTTTGAGGGGAAGTGATTTCGTCCCCTGCACCTCATCTTTACTTTGACACAACAGCCGACAGCTGATCTACTGATAAAAAAGTATTAAGCTAATAAAGTGGTGAAGGAACCCAGAAAGACAGCTGATCTGCTGATAAAAAAGTATTAAGCTAAAAAAGTGGTGAAGGAACCCAGAAAACATTCCCCTTAAACCGCCTACATTTTGTGAATGGACTATAACATGTCATCATGAGTAATAAGCCCAATGTTCACAGTTTTAGTTTTCTCTTAGCCTATAAAAAAACACGATAATACCTATGATAAAATTGAAAAAAATTAATTAAAAAATTAAACCAACAAATCTTCTAATAATGAACACAGGAGAAAAAAAGTATCATTGTTTAACTGCCAGCAACATCAGCTGTAAAATATATCCCGCATATTTTACACATATTACATTACTAAATTGTTTTCCTATGCAATTGCTTGTTTAACTTGTTGTTAGATATAAAACAAAATGGGTAATTTTTTTCAACACAAAACAGATACTTACTGGAACTTCATTATCAGTTATCCAGCCAGCCAAGGCGGGGCAGTAGCTGACGATGAGAGAGCCGATCTCCGACTTCTGCGGAGTCTCAAAGACAAAACAGCGGTGAGCCCCGTTGTCTCCATGTTGTCTCATCAGGTTCACTGTTAGGAAGCTGTCACTGGGATCGAGGAAGATGGATTCCACATCTTGGTAACGGAACTCGTACAGTATAAACTTGTCATCTGGCTTGATCAACATCAGGCCTTCACTGTTCACTCCTAATATCAGGCTGTTACCTGAAAATCATGCATATTGTACTAGAGTTCTAGAAGTTGCTTGGATGGAAGGTTTTATAAAATCTAAGAAGCAATTATTGAACTGTATCCATAAATTAATTAATAAGTAATAATAAGTGCATAATTAATTTGTCAGTATAACGCTATTTTTAAACCACCTAAGTACCAAGAATTAATAACTTCTTATATACAAAAAATGGTAAAAATTATTTGTTTTCACGTCCGTTTTAGATAGGTAACAGTAGAATGATTCAATAATTGTGTTTGTTATCATGCTTGGGGTATAATTATGTCAAAGGTTATTTTTTCCCACCAGGCTAAAAGTTTTCCTATTTGGTCTGCTGTTCTTTATAGAGAATTAAGGAAAAAAAATAAAAAAAGATTGCTAATTTGTAGCATTTTAGGATCGTATATTTTCATAGAAGATATAGGTTAATAGGTTGAATTTCTAGTGTGTGGTTGTTGGTGCAGGTCTCTGTTTCTTGGCTCGTGGCTAGGGACTCCATAGAATAGTAAAACTTACATAGAAGCTATTGACTATTCTCTTGTCCTACACTGTGTCATGAAAAATATACCATAAAAAATAATTTCAATTCACAAAACTACGGTAACACTGGAGTTGAGACTTACCATAAGACCAATAGCCTCTGTACGTGACTTGGAACATTGTTGTTCCATAGAGAGGATACTGCATCACGCAGGAGAGATAAAGTGCTTTAGCTGTTAAACTGGTCTTGCCCGTCCCGTACTGCCTGTGAGCTTGGGCAATTATTGGCACCTGCAAAAATAAATAGATAGAAATAAGACACAGATTATGTAAAAATCTAACTTGTTAATACTTGCACTAGAACAGTACAGAAAACCATTTTAAGTTTATTTCTTCTTAAAAAAGCTATTCCAGAATGTTAGCCTTATATTGCTCTTATTATTATTTTTTTATAAAGAGCTCTGTTATATTATTAACACATAAATGAAAGGAGAGTATGCTACCATTAATCCAAACCCAATCCAAAATTTTTCATTTTGGATTTCTCCTTGAACTATTACAGAGCTTCCATAATGAGTTCCATTATTATGGAACTTCTAATTGAAGAACTGTTTGCTTCTCTGCTACTAGTAAAACTTGAGGACTTTCAATTAAAATAAAAAAAAAACATTCTCCAAAGAAAAAATTTAGCAAAACTGTCAGGGATAGTTATGAAAAGAGGGGGGTTGATGATGAGGTATCTTATTAGTTGTTAGCTCAATGCTGAATGTCTTGAAATTTGTGCAATAGGGATTGAATATATCATTGAAATCCTTGTTACTCACATAAGTTAACTAGGTTCCCATTCAACTTTGAAATATTATAAACAAATTTCTTCTCACTAAATGTCAATACAAACATATTTTAACTACAAGTTACTAAGTTCATTCATGTTTAAAAGATGAGGCTTTGCGATGGGACTTGCCAACCTTTTCAAACACTATATTTTCTACTAGATGCAAAATAAAAAGACCATCTTAAATTTAGTGTTTGGCACAGTGATGCTTACTTGACTTTGTAGTGAGAAATAATGGAGTAACACTTAACTGAGAGACATAAGAATTACGCAAACTCTTTTTTCAAATGTATGATTCAACTGACCCAAACATCCTCTCCTCTGCTGCGGCTGACCCTGTAGGGAAGGTAACTGTCAATGTCCATGTAAGACTCTAGAGACTTGGAGTCCTTGGGGTCTCCTAGGTTGACCTGAGCCTGCAGACCTGCCAGCTGTAGGGCTACCTTCTCACTCACCGGGAAGTCATCACACTGCAACAAGTACACATCTCAACTGCAAATCAACTATTTGACAAACTAAATTTTCATAGATATTTGAATTAGTATAACAAAGACTGAAATATCATAAAATATTGTTCAGTGATCTGTGAACCTGTTAAAGTTTTAAAAGCAACCCTGAAAAAAACAGTGTAAACAACAATAAACAAAATTAGAGAGCAAAAAGTTCAATTTATTTTGGATTCTAATCCTCAATTCTGGCAGCCTATCCCTTCAAATTTTATTTATTATTATTTTGCTATAAAACATAGCAATATCACTAAAAACTTATGTATGCATAGTTGCCTCATACTATATTGTGATAAATTCCTTTTGAATAAATCCTTTAGTTATTGCGAGACAGTAAGCAGTAAACAAATACACACTAGAGTTTGTCCCTACTATCTGTTGTATGACATGATAGCTCTCTCACAATATCCTGGAATACCCTAGTGGAAGTATCACTAAGCAATCATTAAAAAATTAAGTGATATCACTAAAAATCCTATTGATTTTTAATGATATCATTAGACATCATTTAATGACATCATCTAACCAAACAAACCTAGTGATGTAACTAGATTTGTTTTTAATGATATCACTAAAGATCAGTATAGTCATTAGAAATAACTAGGATTAAATTGTTAATCATTAGGTTTCTACTGACATCACTATAATCATCAAGCCAGTCACTAGAAGTCATTAGAGAATTTAGTGATATAAACTTAAAATCACTACAATTGTTAGTTAAATGTGAAAGATTCAAAACTGACTGTTGGGTATAGCCAAGCAAACTCAATATGATGTAATACAATAATTTATTTCCTTATATTTAAATTTGAATGTATATTAGTGTTACAAGGTACATTGATCTGAGCTTAAAAACCCCTTTTGATGCTTTGTCAAAGAAAGTAGAAAAATTGGGAATGTTATTTAAGTTATATGAGGTGAACTTTAAATAAAACTTTATTGAATTATAATATTTTTGGAATCCTAACCTGTTGAGTAGTTTTATTTATTTATTCGCGGTACAACCATTTTTAAAGGGTTGACATGCTGACATTATAATGCAATATTGAAAGATTGTGATTCAAGATGAACGAAAAGTGATTAATGAACCCAAGTGAGATACTACGCCGATTTTAAAATCTGCATTTTGCTGCAGATTTGTAGGCGAGGGGATTGTCGGCTGGGAATCTGTAACGTACAGGTTGTTACCTGTCCGCGCACACGGTCGACTAAAAAATCGGCCAGTCGCCGATCTTTCATTGTATAGTATTTCAATAACTATAAGATCTTTACAACCATTAAAACATGCTCAGTCAAATTTTTGTAAGTTTTGTTTCCAAGTTTACCCCTATTCAATCAAAGCTGGATTACCATATATTATTAACAGGTATTTTTTAGAAAGAAATTGTCCAAAAATCCGTTGTCCAACTTATAGTAACAGTTTATCAAAACTTTTAACAGAAATTCTATAGCAATTAAAAATTTTTTAATGTCATCTCGTAAACAGTGTGCAGTTTATAAAACAGCCCATTTTAAAGTCTCTAACTTGCTATCCGATGAACCCAATATTTACAAAAACTTCTTTTTTTCTTTGATCTAATTAGAAGAGCACAAACATAGGTTAATTCAACAAAGTCCATTTTAGGATACCTTAACAATGCACTCAAAAAAATTCATTTCTTGACTAAAAATCGCCACGTGTGCGCCTAAACATAAAAATCGCCACGTGTGCGCCTAAACAAAAAATCAACTGTGTGCGCTTAGCCAACAATTTAAGTGTTTAATTGTAAAACTTCAATTGACTTCACTGTCCGGCCGCTTGAACGTGCGGATGTCCACAACCTATCTCCCCCTCCCAGACAGTTTCAACCCACAAAAAATGTCCCGGAAGACCTAACGAAGCCAAACGTGGACGCCCGAAAGTTTTGGAAACTACACGGGAAGAGCAAGTGCAGGCGGCTAAAAGGAATTATAGGGGGACGCACACTCAAATCAAATCAGGGATAACAAAAAACAATACTCCAAAGACCACCCTGAGGTAAATAGAGCGGCTGTTGGGCGTTATAACCAAACACACCCTGAGGTCAACAGGGCGGCTGTTGGGCGTTTTGCCAAACGCACCCTGAGGTCAAGAGGGCAGCTGTTGGGCGTTACAGCCAAACGTACCCTGAGGTCAACGGGCGGCTTTTAAGCGTTACAGCCAAACACACCCTGAGGTCAACAGGGGAACTGTTGGTCGATATAGCCAAGGAAATCCTGACACCTCTCGACAAAGGGTGCAGATTTTCCAGTTAGGCCTACATAATCCTTTGCTGTCTCACCTTCGTCACTTGCCAGCTACACTTGCTCGGCATATTTCTCAACACCGTCCTATGGGGTCTTGCGAGGGAGAGTTGTTGAACAATATTCCAGCTTTTAGTCTAAAAAAATTAGTCTTTGGGACAGTGAAATCTTCAAGTGTACCTACTGTGGGGATAGGCTTTTTGAGGAGGAAAAGTGTTGGAAGAAGTGGTTTTGCGGACAAGGGGCATACACCGTCCTTGATCTAAGTCCTCTTGATGAAACCTTCTATTCCGATCGTTGTTTTCTCGACAGGGCTTTCTTTTTGTAAATCGGTCCCGTCTTTTACATCGACGGCGAAGAAAGGCAGAACATTGCTTTGGTTACATCACTTGACGGTGTCGTTGATGCCTCTTTCACTTGATACCTGTCACAGCAAAATCCATACGTCTCTCACTATCGGCGTTTGGGTAGTGAGCCAGCTGTGAACGCTCACTTGGATTTCCAAGTGACAAGTAGATCCACCCTAACCATGGTCCCGTTCTAGGTGACAGGCAAACAGGTATTGATGTGCACGCTGTCCCAAGCACCAACGAGACAGTTTACGAGCCCCACAAGCTATCTGTATGGAAAGTTGGATCCGGTCGACCCACTTCTATCAACCTTTTCAGTCCTCCACTTTCAAAATTAAATTAAATTTAAAAAACTTAAACAGGCAAAATAGCAAACCCTATTATTTGATTTAATAGTTTCATCAGATCTGTTTTAGCAACTGACGTTAAATTATGCCACATACAAAATATTAAAACCATTAGCATAACCTCAAAATATGGTCCTACTGCTGTTAGGCAAGGTGGAGTTGGAATTATCACGTTGATAAGATTGTTCAGTAGGCCTAAACCCACTGAAATTACTTTCATTGTCATGATTGTCATTTATTAATTCTTCGAGTGTCAAATGAACCTACATCTGAAGTATCTGAACTTTCAGTTGTCAAAAGTATCAAGGTCTAAATGGAAAAGCTCTGAGTCTACAGACTTAATCAGGACTATCATTTGACCTATCAACGATTTGGCAATCTATAATTTCATATCAACATACTAACTTTTACTACAAAACAAAAACCTGACAAATAGGCCTACTCAATAAACAACACAATAAGAGCCACAGACGACAAATGAAACTAATGTAAACATTACTAATGAATGATGATTGGATGGATCACAGCACAGCTGAGTTGCAAAGAGGACTGTTACAGTGCATAGAGGAACAATAGTAGTCTATTAAAACGTATTTTGGTAGGTGTACTGGGAAGTGGTTTTATTTTAATACTGTAATTTGAAAAGTGGTTATTCTTCAACTGCAAGTCCATATTAGTATAGTTCCCTAAAAATATCAATTTACGATTTGCGCAAACTATAGTGCTTTCGTCATCCGTAATGAAGAAAGAGGAGGGGAACGCAGGAACCGGAAAGACAACAGAACTAGAATACAAACCCATAGAGGAATTAAATTATCTAAGTCACGGAAATATAATTAATTATACATTATTTATTGACTTTTTATAGTCATTTTGCACTGCATGTATATTTTGCTCAGCATGTTTTTTTACGCTCTAAAAACAACACAAATTTGGTAATACACAATACGTTTATATCTAATTTAAACATGTTAAAATTATGCATGTCATGCATATGGATACGTCAAAAAGTGGATTACATGTTGCAAAAACACAAGTGAGAGATAATAAAGTACATAAAACATTCAGGCATTAAACAAAAAAGTCAAATACGTAGAGTAATAATTAAGTTACTAATTAAAACATAAATTTTGTCTTACAACTCTTAAGATCATACTAATCATACTATTAAAGTAGACTATATACATGTTAAAATAATGTGGTGTAGTAATAATAGAGATCGATGGGTAATTGCAACTATAATTTCAACATGTAGCCTATATTTTTATTTAGTGCATACAAAAACACGCTATGCAAAACATACACGCTATGCAAAATATACACACAGTGCAAAATGACTATAAAAGTCAATAAAAAATGTATAATTAATTATATTTCTGTCACATAGATAATTTAATTTCTCTATGGGTTCGGTTTGGATTCTAGTTCTGTTGTCTGTCCTACCCCTGCGTAGTGCGTTCCCTTCCTCTTCCGCTATTACGGACTACGAAACGAAAGCGATAGTTTGCACCATTCCTACTATACATAATAAGCAATAGTATATTTACAAAACTACATAGAAAAGATTTTAATTTTAAAATACTAGCTACTTGGGATGTATAAAAAATAAAATGTAAGCTCAATAAAACAATGGGGGAATTGCGGGACCATCTTCAAATTGAATGCTTTGAATTTTACGTCTAGTTCCCCGTAGCCTAAGCGAAACTGCTTGAATGATGGAAAGCTGGCTTTGGATTCTCAACCATCCGATAATTTGGGAGTATGGTTTTCTCCATTTTACAGCCAGGGCTTCGCTTGTTCTCCTCTGAAACGCTTCATATTTTTTGTGGGGGACTCCTTCCGTACTTGCAGGTAAGTTAAATATCTTCAGGCTAGGCCTATGATTAATTATTATCCAGACCTTAAGTTAGGCGAGAATCGCTTTAGTTTGGATCACACTTTAACAGGTGCCTTACTCTCAAATAGGCTAGATGTAGGCTACTCATTCTCAAATAAGTTAGCATAGGCTACTTAATTTTGTTAGCCAATTGTTTTAACTTTAGTATAAGTTACTAGCCTAGGCTAGAAGTGGAGTGGGCCTAAATTACACAAGGCCTAATCAGCATACACCTTTTGCTAGGTAAAATAGGCCTAGCCTAGGCTTTTAAGTAGGCCTCTAGGCTAGGCCTAGTAGTGTCCGAAGTGACGACTCGCGTAGGTATTTCTTGACTCGAGTCAAATTGACTCATGACGAAGGTAAGTTAATTTGTCAAATAAGTTAGGTAGGTACCGTGACTCACCCAAATACCGCGATTCTTAAATTTTCTCACCAATATTAAAAATATTGCTGGTCAAATAGGCCTACGTTTAAACTTCATATAAGAAGTAAATTCAACTTTAGGAGTTTAAATGTCTGACGGCTGCTGGATCCATGTCATCTGGCTCATTTATCAGTTTGAATATTGACGTTTCTTGAAACAGGTGTTTTCGTTATGTTTTCTATAAGGACTCATGACTATGTCAACTACATTACTTAGAGTTTTGAATTGAGTCAGACGCAATCAACTTGGTGCCATTGTGAAACCTCAGTCAACACAGGTGAGTTCGGGTGTTGCATTTTAAGTTAGTTAACGTTCTACATTTACTGCAATATGTGAGTAAATGTAAGACGTAAACTGAAGTGTAGCCAGTTCGGGCCAACTCGCAGCGTAACAATTATCAGTTATTATAAGTTTAGTAATATAGTATGGCGAGTCGGCTCGAATCGCATTTAGCCAATAGCTTATCGTTTAAGTTTTGCGAGTCAACTCATTAACTGCGCTACGAGTTCATATAGGTTCGGCTTTCTCAGCATAAGTTCGTTTCTTACTGCATTCCCCTTTGAGCCAATAGTGTTTAAGTTTTGTGAGTAAACTTGTTACATTCCAAGTTCGTGTAAGTAGGTTCGTTTTTTTCCGTACAAGTTTGTTTAAGCGTTTAGGTTTTGGAAGTCGACGAGTTGAGTCAACTCGTTACATTAGTTTTAGGTTCGGGCAGGTTCGGTTTTCTCTGTACAAGTTCGTTTTTGACTCACTTTGAGCCAATAGCGTTTAAGTTAAGTTTTGGGAGTTAACGAGTTGAGTCGACGCATTACGTTCCGAGTTGGTGCAGTTTTGGCTTTCTCGGTACGAGTTTGTGTCTTTGGTCTACTCGCTCCGCATGGCTGGCAGTAAGTTAGGCATAAACTCTTGAGCTCGAGTTAAGTTATGGATGAGTTGACTGGAGTCAACTCGACTCATCACATCACTAAAGCCTAGGTTACGGTGAGTTATACAATTTGACTCACAATAGAGGCTAAGCCTGAGGATAGCTCCGGCCAGAGGAACAACTAAGTTAGCCTGTAACCATCAATGCTAAGAATGAATGTGTATTTCCTAAGTTTTTGCCTTTTAAGATAGATTTTTCTGTTATTCGTCTATTGTATAAGCAGGCCTACCAAGCAGACAATGATTTAATTGATTTGAAAGGTAGTTTTTCTAAGGAAGTCATAAAGTTTTGTTTTGACTGGCTTTTTAATCATAAAATTTGACATGCCTAGACCTAGCCTATCTCAGGGACATAAATTGCTTCTGAGTAACTTATTTTTCTTTAGTTAACTTACCTGCTATTGAACTTATTGTACTTAGACATTTAAAACATCTGCAGGCAAGGTGATTGGTCTATAGGTAGGTATGAACCAGCATCTCCCGCCATTAATGGCTATTAAATATCAAAATATGCACCCCAAATAAGGTGATTATTTTTCTAGACACAGAAGAAGAGATGGAGGAGAAGATAGACAAAACAAGAACAAGGTGCACAAACACCAAGTTTGCCGTTGATGCTGACGAGGGAACTAGCCTATAGGCCTTGCGAGAAGTTAGATAAAAAGCAAGTACCGTAAGTAAAATACAAACTAAGTTATCACAAATGCTAATTTATTTTACTGTTGTTCTGTGGAGAAACCTATATTTGATCTTGAAAAGCTTTAGGCTAAGCAACATATTGGGAGTAAATTAGGTTAAGTTTACAAGCAGCTTACCTTGCTTGTGACTTGTTATATGGCTAGCCATTAATAACTTAACTCAGGGCCGATTGCCGATTAACCGGATAGGCACGGTTGGCACTTGCCTAGGGCGCGAGGTAAATGGCTTTTTTGGGGGGGCGCCAAGAATTGAAAAATAAAACAAATTGGTGATTGTATTTGCATGTAAAATCAGGGAAAATTGAAAATTCCAGCTATAACTACAAAATTAACGCATAATTCTCGGTTAAAAAAAGTCACACATCATTCCTGGATTTCCTGGTCGGTGGACACCCTGTAATATATATTGCAAATGGGCGCTAAGACTATTAGTTGTGCCTAGGGTGCTTAGAGGGTCCAAAACGGGCCTGATTAACTCTTTCAGTGCTATGCGGGATATATCATTGTCCATCTTTTTCCCGAAGAGTAGTATGGAACGATATATCGTTGTTCGTGTTTCATCCGAATATGCTATGCGATGATATATATCGTGCCGGTGTGACTTTTGATCGTGTGAGTATAAATAATGGGCATATCGGTTGACTCGGTTGTTGTTTCGAAACAGCGATGGTTTCTTTTCAGTCCTCATACGATTGAGGCCTGATATATAGTTCCTTAGCACTTTTGAGATGAAACATTTGATTTTTATCGATTTTTCTCGCACACTAGATTTAGCCCCCGTGTCAGGCATAACACTTTTCGGACAAAATATAAGTATACTATAACTCTAGCATTTTTTAGAAATTTACAAAGAAATTCTAGTTTGGGTTAAACAATTAAGTTTTTGGTAAGTTAACTGTTCAGTAGGCATTTTACGATTTGCACTCTCATCGTTTTATTTTGTTTACTTTTGATTGTTAATAAAATTTACCTCAAGTAAAATAAAACATAAATCATGAATTAAATACAATAGGTTTATCAATTACTTAGGCCTCATTCATATTTACTTAGGCTCCATTCATATTTATATTTCCAATAGTACGTTTCAAGTCAAATCGATTAAGTTAAAAAATAGAACTGTTCAAGTAATATTTTTTTTTAATTTAAGATGTAACTAGGCCAAGCCTACAAACATTTATAATGCTAAACACTCAACACTTAACTTGACTGGTTTTTTCTACATTTTTTTGGCACACTCGTTAATGACATCGTCAAAGTTCATTTTTAGAGTTACATCACTCTCTGTACACAAGATTTTAAATGGTTTGGTTTAGTCTGTTAAAGTGTTGACCTAATCCGACAGTTCCTGCAGGCACAGTTTTTAATTCATAAAAAATTAAATAGCCTACTTATTTTAGGCTTTTTTTAACATATTTTCACTGCCCAAAAGCTTTTTTCCACTCTCTTTATAAACCCACTGCTAAACTTGGTTTTTTGCTCATTTCACACAAACAGTGTGTGAATGTAAAAATAAAATATCTCGTTTAATAAAAATAAAATTATAAACAAAAACATGACAGTAAATTTAGTTCACTAACCAACTGATAATATGTTTCTCACTCGAGCAAAGAGAACTGACATCGGTGAGTAATGAAAAAAATGACATTGATAATTAATTACAAATAAAGATTTAAGGCGGATCAAGTAGTGACATATGATATGTAAGCAGTGGCAGTGATGAGTCATGAGGGAGGGAACCAAGAGTGAGGAGGATTCTATAGATTCAGAAAATATTTTCTGTTGCTTGCGCCCAAAAAAAAAAAAACTTGCGTCTAGGCTCATTTATAAACGCAGAACTGATGGCGGCCAGTTTTGAAACCGCAGTTTCATTGTCAAACCTCTTGCTTCACAATGGCGGATCCAGAGGGAGGGAAGACATTGGTTTACATTGGTCGAGTAAGCTCGGCCGAAATGGCTCGGCTATTCTTACTTGTCATGTTTTAGAAAAGTGGGTTTACATTAGTAAAGTTAATTCGGCTGAGTTGACGACTTAAGTTTTGATGATTACAAGTACAGTTATTGTGTAAATTATATGTAAATGCTCCGTAATATGGTGTTACATTTCAAAAATGCTTGAAAAGGGTGTACAATTTGTTGGTAAAGGAAGTTGATGCATTGGTGAAAGAAAAAAATGAATAGGGAATTGGGCAGATTTTAAAATCATCATTAGTTCTTAATTCAATGATGACCTTGTGTTTTAATTCTTTGCTTCGCTTCTTGTACTTACACCAAACCATTACTTCCCATATCTTTTACAAGGTTGTCAATTGCTGTTTGTGGCATTTCTTTGTTTTTCTAAGAAGTGCTTTTGAGATTTAACAAAAAATTTGCATCTCGATACAACTCAACAAACTTTAATGTTTCCTCTTCTGTCCACTTCATTTTAAAATATTTTTTAAATCAACTTTAAAATAACAAAAACATGTATAAGATTGCTAAAATGCGACTTGAGACAGCAGACTGAGAGTGGTGGGGGAAGGGCAAGTGCTCGAAATTGGTCGAGTGGCTGTCTCCTGGCCAAAACTACTCGACTTGTCCGCCAGCTGGGTCTGGCACTCGTCTCGCTTGTCAATCGACTCGTGAAATTGTCTTCACTGGTCAAGTTGACGGTAGAGTACTGACTCGCCTGTCTAATCGCTCTTTTACTCGACCAATGTAAATCAAGCTTAAGCGGCAAGGTGCCTTGTTGTGATGAACTATGAAGCTATACACAATAAAAATCCCTAACTTAAAACACAACCCCCGTAACATGTTCCTCTTTGGATATATAGGTTATAACATTTCTTTTGCATTGTTGTTGATGAGTTAATATTTAATTCATGGCTTGTTGTAAGATGTAAAAATATTGCATTTTTGTTTTTCATTGCTAGTTTTTTTTTAAATTAATTTCAGTTTTGTTAATTAACCACTTATTTGAAATTACAAGTTTAGGTTTAGGTATGAGGTCTTGCTCTTTTTACGTCTCTTAATTACTGACATGATTTAAAAATTATATTTCAAGCTCTCAAATCCAGCTTGGGTTCAAAGTTAGTATTTTTACCATTTGAAACCATTTTGTGCTGTTTTGTTTAAATGTACTACTATAGTATAAAAGAGTCCTAAAGTTTAAATTGTAAAACTAATTGAATAGTGTACAATTTTAAAATAGTAAACTATGGATATTCTGTTTAGTTTAACTAGGGTATCTATGTAAGTATAAAATATTATTTGTGATTCCAATGTTGGTATTCTATATAATATTATCTTAGAACTTTAGGAATATGTGGTTTTTTTAAAGAAGCAATGATTGTCTAAGGATTTATTTGCTCAATGCACAATTTAAAAATAATAAACTTTAATTTGCATTTCCTTTTTAAGGGATCTGAAGCAGCTGAAGTGCCGTATATGTTGCAAGTTCCAAAATCCACTAATGTCTTGAAATGTGTGTTAATTTATTGAAAGTTAGTCATTGTCTTATTGTTATGTTTAAGTGAACTGAAGTTAAAATTTTATAGTTAGCTCAATGTAAATTTTAAAAATAATAAACTATTATTTGTTTTTATGTCTATTTTGTTTTCCACCTTTTAGAATTTGTCTAGCTAACTAAATTTCAATAGGGGTTTCTAGTGATTTCGTTAGAAACATGAAGTGTCATCACCAAAGGTCAGTAAACTTGTTTAGCTGTATAACAAAACACAAAGTGTTATAACTAATTATCATTAAAAGTATTTAGTTATATCACTGAATATCATCAAAAATAACAAGTTATACCAGTACACATCATTTAAAGGTTTAGTGATATCATTAAAATTGTCTAGTGATATCAGTACACACCATTAAAATGTTTAGTGATATCATTAAAATTGCCTAGTGATATCAGTAAACACTATTAAAATATTTAGTGATATCATTAAAATTGTCTAGTGATATCATTAAAATTGTCTAGTGATATCAGTACACACCATTAAAATTTTTAGTGATATCATTAAAATTGCCTAGTGATATCAGTACATACCATTAACATGTTTAGTGATATCATTAAAAATTTCTAATGGTATCACTAAGTTGCGCTATTGATTTTAGTGATTGATTTCTAGTGATTTTTACTCGTCCCAAATCTCACTACGTATCACTAAATTTTTTTTTAATGATTGCTTAGTGATTCTTCCACTAGGGTAACCTACCACTTAAGTGCTAACCAATTGTTTTATTCCCTCAATACTGCACCCTGGACCATAAGTTACAACTGTACACCATGATTGTTTGTGCAACCTCAAAGAAAAACATTTTAGCTTTGATTATGTTACTTAGCAGATCTTCATTAGTCAGTAGGGTTAGCAATCTTTTCTCAGTTGTTTATGATCAGACAAATTACAAAGACCTTCTAAATTTAAATACAATAGACTTAACCCCTAATAAAATTAATTGTGTATGTTACATACTATGGTGAAAGCAAATGTGTTCTTGCTTGGGCACAGTTGTAAAATGATATTGGAAACTAACCTTGACAACATGATAGACAGCTTGTGCATACAGAAGGTTAACTTCAACAGGGTCAAGTGAGATCTCCCTGGTGTTCTTGAAGAGACGTCGCTTGAAGAGGAACCTGTTCTCACCACTCCCCAAGGTAGGCTGACTGCCTCGCTTGGACAGGGTGGGAAAAGAAGATGTTGGGGCGTTGGCTTTGGCTTGTTTGCTGATTAAACCAAAACAAAAACAATTAGCATGACAAATGTATACTCAAACATCATACTGTACAGGGTGGTCCAAAAATAACTGACACATTTTAACATAAATTTTTATTTACAATATTTTAACTACATGGTAACATTTACATATACAGTTTAACCTTGATATAACGAACCTCGATATAACGAATTCCTTGATATAACAAATTTTTTTTAATCCCCTAGAACTCTCCATAAGACACAATGTATATTTTACCTCTACATAACGAACAAACCATAACAACGACCTTTATTTAACGAATTTTTCGTGATTTCGGCTAAAATAAGACACCTCAATACAACGAATTTATCATTGTCAGAACCTCTACATTGCGAATTTAACCTCTGCATAACGAATTGTCTACGTCTTTCCCTCGATATAACAAATCCCCCACCCAATTATTGTTTTGGGAAAATCTGTTTCTTTATCAAATGAAATGGAAAGGTCACGTCATCGCTTGCGCTAACATTCGTCTGCTCTGTTTTACATCTTTGTCTGCTGTCGCTGCGCGCGCTATGTTGCCACTGAGAACTGATTTCATTCACTGAGGACTGATGACGACGTAATGTTTAGTAAGCTGTGATTGGGCGATATGGGATAACTATGGTGAATTGTACAATTTTTGGATAAAGAGAAAACTAAGAAAGAATATAAAAACAAAACCAAAGAGAAAGAATAGCAACATCGTTATTTTAACATTCCTTTTACGAGTGTTTTTATTATCCTTAAGTCGGCTATGATTATACACTTTTATAATGACTTATCTAATAATTTATTGTTTTCAATACGATTTGTTCCGTTTCAACATTGACTAAGGAAACAAAAGAACTTTGTTTCCCTTGTCTGTGGTTTCAACTAGCAACACCAATGCTATAGTTAATGATTATTATTGACATTCCTCTGTTGTGATAAATCAGTACTGTACTGTAAGTAGCCTACCGGCCTATCGCGAGCAGTAGCTTACAAAACTTTCTACTGTTTTGTTTTGTTTTTTACATGGTTTATGACTACACAATACGGTGTTTGGCTAGGTTTTAGGAGGGTTAACAAGCTGTGATTTTAAACTTACAGTTTTTAACCTATACCAAGGTCCTATACCAAGGTCAATGTCATGATTGCGCAATATTCAAGATCCCTCCCCTTTATTATGCTGGATAATTTAGGTTCTACTGTACAATGTAAACACTGTACTGTAAAGTATTGTAGCCTATGCTACTTTAATTGTATTTTAATGAGGTCAAATCCCGACCTATATTGACCGACGCTGGTTCTGAACCTCGACTTAGCGAAATTCCTGCAAACCTCTATATAACGAACCTCATTTTAACGAAATCCTTGATATAACGAATATTCAGTTCGGTCCCTTCAGATTCGTTATACTGAGGTTGGACTGTACCATATATACAGAAAAAAAACACTCAAAAAAGTGTTTGGTGATATTCAGTAAATCTCAATATGGCCACTGTTTAAGGCTCTGCCGGCATTACCCATGTAATCTTAATTCCATCCTCGAGAAATGCAGGAAAGGTGTGCAATGTGCTACATTTTGATTTAACGCCGGCATAGCCTTAATTGGTGGCCATACTGAGATTTGTTAACTATCACCAACAACTTTTTGAGTTTTTCTATCTGTACATATGTAAATGTTACCATGTAGTTAGAATTTTGTAAATAAAAATTTATGTTAAAATAAAATGTGTCAGTTCTTTTTGGACCACCCGTATATAGATATTACATCATATGAAACGAGATTTTTTTACACGTAGCCTTAATATATTATGATGTGTTTATTATGAAGCTAAATTTTTTAAATGATAAAACTAAGAAAGCAAAGATAATTCAACAATAATTTATAAGCAAGATAATTCAACATGCTGGTGCATTATGAGTAACCAAACAAACAATTTATAATGGAACACTTAGCTATAATTCAATAAGCCAGGTTCTATTTCACAAGCTAAGTGCTATTATTCTTGAACTTACTTCTCCCAAGCGGCGATGACATCGTACAGGAAGTGGTGAGCTCTGACGTGTTCCTCCCCGTCAGGTCGACTCTGGTAGATCGCCCAGCCATCCAGGTTGGTCAGTCCAAGCTTCTCCGCCAACTTGGCAGCTGCATCACTAGCCGTGTCCGTAGGGTGAACATCAATGGCCTTCGTCCTTCCGTCAAGGAAGAAGAATCTACACACTATTGTTCCCAGTTTCTTCATTGCCTGAAATAATATTTGCTATCAAACTATTTTTTAGATAGATGTTCTCAGCGTTAGAAGAAATCAAGGAAGTAATGTATGTTTTAAAATATGAAAGTAATCTGTATAAACTTCTATTCTTGTAAAAACCATTTAGGCAAAACTACAAATTTCCTTTATAAAACTGGCTGAGTCATTTCTTGAAAACTTTGATAGTGTTTCTCATCAAATTACTTTAACATAAAAACAGAGTAAAGTTTAGTGTGTGCAGTTATAAAAGATTACTATCACTCCCAAGCTCTGGTATATTTTAGGTTGTAGGTATACGTAGGTACACCCATTACTTACAAACCAACAATAATACTTACAGCAATTTCAACTTTAGAAGGAGGCAACTGACGGCAGGAGACTTTAGTATTCTTACAGTTGTCAAGGCACCATTGAACGTACTGACGCAGTTTACCTTCAGTCATCAAATTCTTTTTTAGGAAGCACACAAAATACTGAAACAAATACAGTACATACACTTTAAGTACACATTGTCTTAATTACAAATCTGTTAATGTCAGGTATTTTTCAGAGAGATTGCATCCTTGTTCTATAAGTTTTGTATTAATTAACTGACTAAGCTATAATTTTAGCTGTACATGACATTGCCGATAATTTGTAAAAATTCAACAGACAATAAAGAATATTTCATTTCATTTAATTGTTCTAAGGATGACAAAGCTTGTCAGCTCCCTAAGGAGGTGGAAAAGAGAAATATTCATATCTTTAAGGTGTAGTTAAAAGAAACCCCACTGCCGGACCAAAATTAGCAATGGCTAATGGGTGTCTTCCTCTAGGACTTTCCGAAGCAGGCATAATAGTATTGATATGATATAGTAACTGGGTAGAGAATATCAATAAACATTCCACATCTGCAAATGCATGTTTAGTAATTAAAATATTTAACACTTTTAAGACAATTGACGATTATGCACTGTCACACTTCTTAGGTCGTGTAAGGAATAATTGCATTTGATTTATATTTAGACCTGTTTTACGAATGCTTTGGTTTTCACAATACACCTTTATTTGTCAACAATATCATACAGCTATTCACTGAAACATATATGTTTTTGTAAGTCAGAATATTCAATACTAAAAACAGAATTACTGTATACACAAATCAGGTCAAACGTTAAAATACATTTTTTATAGTAACCAAAACAAAATGCATTTTTCTCAATGTAATTCATTTAGGCTCCATGGCAAAAAATAGTTTATTGATCAATATGAAGCAACTGTTTCATGAAAAATTGTCTGTAGCTTCATTTAAATGGTTTCAACTAACAGCTGTAGGAATGTTATTATGATTTATTGCCTTCTCTGCACAAATGTAAACAATCTGCACAAATGTAAACAAAATAAATGTTGAATATTTAAGATTTTCAGAATTTTTCACCGAAACAAATATTATACTTAAACATAATATATAAGGTACCAAATAGAAACTCTCCTGGTTATTTTGGTGGTGGAACCACACTGATCGGTAAAAGAATCACAGAGAAATTGGTGAACATACATAGAAAAAAAAAAACATCGCCACAAACAAATTGAGAACCTCCTCCTTTTGTTGGTAGTGGGGAAGTCGGTTAACCCTCCCAGTGTTACTTGACGAAAATTCGACAAGCAGCACACTTTGTGTAGTGTTACTTGTCGATTTTTCGACACGCAGACATCGTTTACGGCGAAGGCTCTATGACTGACTGAATTGGATTGAACTGGATCGAGTTAGGTATCGTTCTTTCCGTAATATTCTAAGCTTTCTCCAGAGGTCTGTCTCTAAGCGCTATTCATTTTAGTTCCGAAAATATTGTAGCAGACAGCTGACGTGCGTGTATTTGTAAACAGCTAGGTTCCCCCGGACCGATGACTGATGTGTTTTATTACGTTTATCATTGTTTTAGTGTTAAAAATCAAAAGTAGTGATATACGTGGTGCATTATAAGAAGATTTAAGTGGTTTTGAAGTGCTGGTTGATGATCCTGAAGAAGTAGGTAGTGATATTGATGTAAATTATCAGCCAGATTCCTAGCTATGGTTAGGCTATGCATTCTTAGCTAAACGCTATGTACTGAAATCAGTTTTTTGCCCATAACTTATTTATTTGCAAATATACTTCCTTATATTATTATATATTTGTAATCCTCATAAAATTTAGAACAAAGTGGCTATTTTCAAATATTTATAGGCCTATAATTTATACAATTTCATTGAGCGCGAACTTATTTTTTTTTTTTTGAACATTTTAAAAATTATATTTTTTTTACCTAAAAAATTTTTTTTTGAAAAAATGTTCCTTATGTTTTATATATAATATTGAAGCCCATGATTTTCCAAACAAAATGGTATATAGAACATTAGAATTAACATTGTTTTAAGCTTCTCAGATCTGTTTTAATAAAACCTTGCAAATGCGCCAAAAATAGGTGGACATTAAGGCCTAAACTATGGACACTTGGAGGGTTAAAAATGAGCTTTGATTACCAAATCCCTGAGTATACCTTGAACAGGTTCTTGGAGGGTTGGAATGCCACGATGGTGAGACACAGCAGCAGCCAGACTCTCTCAGTGGCCTCAGGATTGGGGTTGTTGGTGGCTTGTCTCATACACTGCACAAAGATCTCGTCCCGCAGCTCTTCACGCTCCAGACCGGCTCCTATGATGGTCTGTATCACCTGGGCCTCCACCTCAGGCTTCAACACCTCTGCTCTGATATACTTGCACAACTCCTGTGGATGTAAACCAATGTAAGTAGGTTGATCTCATAGTAAAATGCATCCTACAATATATTCAACTTCACTTCTTCTCTTCATTAAGACACAAACGCAATGGGTAGGCCTATGTATAGCTGAATAGGGAAGCAAGGTGAGTCTAGAAGGAAATTTGACGCCTTGTGTAACGTTACTGGCTAAGAGCAGCTGTTCTGCTGTTTCTACAGACAGAAACATTTATTCAAAGCCCATTGGTCAAGGCTAGCTGGGGTCAGCTTTAAATCACCAAAATGTATTTTTCTCTGAATTATTGATACCAATACAAGTTTTACGTGGAAACATGTTAACAACAAAAAGTCTTCTATCTTTTACATCTTCTTTGTACATTAAGCAATATTAAGAATTGTTGTAGGCATTTAGAGAATTTCTTTGACATTAAAAAATGCAATGTACTAAAACTAAATTGACAATACTCACCCGGAATACTGAGCAAGCAACATTGATGTTGTCCGGGTCGTACATGTGGATGTGGGAGTTGGGAATGCTGGATCCCTTGTAGTAAGTCACCATCTCGTACTTGGGCATGGTCTCTACCGACTTACTTTTACGTGTTAAGGTAGCTATGATCGTGCCTGTAAACAACATCAAAGATTGTTTGAAATAAGCAATATGACCTTTTATAATGGTATGCTGCTTGAAAACCATTTAAATAATTCTGTGTCATCGTTCTTTAAAAGAATCCATACAAGAATAAATGAGTGATTAGTTTTAATTTTACAGTAAATTAAATATATTTCACCCAGAGGTACAAACAGGTAGGCACAGTTATAGTTGAATTTTAAACTCAGTTGGAACATCAGTTTTAAATTACTCAAATGAATGGGATTTTTGTAAAAAATAAAGATGAACGATCCAACAAAAATGATATATTCTGCATTTGATTTTTATGCAAACTTAAACTACAATTGCGGCCCTACTAAGTGATCAAATTACCTTCTGGTGTTCTTTCATGAGAATTAAAAAACTTTTGAGCAAATTCAACAATATCATGGTAGGCATCTTGGAGGGGATCTATATTCTTTTCTTTGAGTTCTTCCATTTCTTGTAGCTTCTTTTCAACCCTAAACTTCCTTCTCTGCTCTCTCTCAGGATCTTCCTGGTTGTATTTCCACGAATACGACGACTGGACTCCCTACATGAAGTAAAGAGTAAGTATTACTAAATATATAAATATAATATAAGCACTTAACTTCAGAGAAACACCACCATATTTTTATGTTTTCCTTCAATTTTTTCATGCTCTATCTCTTTTTTTTTGTAAAGATTATTTCAAGGAAACATAATAGATAAATATAGTTCCTGCAATAAAATTTAATATGGCATGCACTTTTTCTATAGGCCTACTAATACTGTACATATTTTTATTGAATTACTTAAAAATAGTAATGTTACATACTCATAGGATCATCACAAATCTATTACATTATGCTCAATTTATGTTAAAACCAAGAAGACAACAATATTTTGTCAAATAATGGTATATCTTGTTTAGTGCAGTTCAAGAATGTGTGACGTACTTTTCCACACTGAAACATATAAAACTAGTTTACATGCCAGGTTTAAGTACCACGTGCTATACAGCACATTTAGTTTCCGGATAGGCCTCAGTACGGAGATTTGGGTTGGCCTTCCAGGGTTCGCGACAAGATGTTTTTTTCACGCTCAGCCGTGCCGTCGCCTTGGCTGAGGTTTACCGCGACGGAGATCTCGAGCATCTGGTTCATCACACAGATGTCGCCGTAGTCCGGATTAATCCTCACGGACCGGTCACTGCCCCTTCCACCGCAGTGAGACGTGGTGGCCTTCCATGGAAGCTAGTCGCCACCCCCGAAATCGTTTTCGTGTTCAGCACACGACATCCAGCCAGGCACTTGGGTTCTGCACACCAAGTATGGGTTGACTCCGGCTGCCGTTGTAGCCTGGGGTCCACTGTCGCCCTCCTGTCGTCACAGCCACAGGCTGAGGCTCATTCCGCCCCCCCCACTCGTCGTAGTAGGCTGGGGCTCATCCGACCTCACCTAGCCGTCGTTGCAGGCTGGGTCTGTTGTGGCCACCGTCGGTGCTACTGCAGAGTCGAGTCATACTTCCCATCCGTCGCCGCTGTCGTCTGGGCATCTGGTTTCTCACACAGATACCTGCCGGTGCTGCCGCCTGGGAATCCGGCTCATCGCACGGACCCCTGTCTCTGCCGTCGTATAGGTATCCTGCTCGTTGCAGGAATACCTTTCGTTGCCGTTGTTTGTTCGGGCGCCATCAATTGTGACGTACTACGTGGGGGCTTGAGACTATCGTATGGGAATCCGGCTCATCGCACGGACCCCTGTCTCTGCCGTTGTCTAGGAATCCTGCACGTTGCAGGAATACCTGTCGTCTCAGTTGTAGATGTGTCCCCCTCGTTGCAGGAACACTAGTCGCTGGTGTCGTATCGTGGGAATCCGGCTCATCGCACGGCCCCTGTCGTTCTCGTCGTCGTATGGGAATCCGGCTCACCGCACGGACCCCTGTCACTGCCCCTTCCACCGCAGTGAGACGTGATGACCTTCCATTGTCGTTAGTCGTCATCCCCGAATCGTCTACATGTCCACATGTAACCCCAGGAGAATCTGGTTCAACACACAGATCCCAGCGTCGTGGGGGTACCTGGGGAGCTCCGCCTGCCGCTGTAGTCGGGGTTCGGATCACCCACCTAACGTCGCAGCTACTACGCCTTCACTGCAGGCTGGGCGTCCATCGTGGCCCCAATCGAGACTACAGCCGGGGGGGCCCCGTCGGTCTCCGCCTCCGTCCTGGGTGTCTGTCTGGTTCTGCACACAGACTCGTGACATCGCGGTACCTTGAGCTTAGCCGACTCAACCCGCCACTGTAGCATAGGGTTCGAGCTCACCCGTCGACCACGGCTACAGGCTGAGGTGCGTTCCACCCCCCCACTCGTCGTCGTAGGCTGGGGCTCAGGCATCCTCACCTGGTCTTCGCCGCGGCCTGGGTTTTCCAGCCCGCGCGCCCTATATCGGTACTACAGCCGGGGAGCCTACTCGTACGTTTTCGTCGCTGACGTCCTGAGTGTCCGGTTTCTCACACGGACATGTGTCACTGCCCCGTCCGCCGCAGTGATCTGCGTGGTGGCCGTCCGTTCGTAGTTGTCGTTTGCCACCCCCGATGCGAGCTACTTGCACCCTTCGCATGTAGTCCTCGGGGATCCGGTTTATCACAGGGTCCCGTGTCACTGCCCCGTCCGCCGCAGTGAGTCCCGTGGTGGCCGTCCGTTCGTAGTTGTCGTTTGCCACCCCCGATCTGAGCTACTTGCGCCTTCCGCAGGTAGTCCTCGGGGATCCGGTTTAACACACGGTCCCGTGCCACTGCCCCGTCCGCCGCAGTGAGTCCCGTGATGGCCGTCCGTTCGTCGTTGTTGAGTGCCACCCCCGATGTGAGCTTCTTCTTGGGTTTACACCACGCCAAGATCCACCACAACGGTTCAACACTCGTTGGGTACACGTTGACCAAGCCCCGGTTGTCTCGTTGACCGTTGTTCTCCGTTGCAATGGTTGGTTTATCACGCAACCACTGCCGCTGAATAATCAATCGAAGAACACCGAAGCTGGCCAACAGCGTGATATGAGTTCCTCTGGTTGGTTTATCACACAACCCCAGCCGTTCGAGAGTCGTAGTAGGCTAGCTGACTGTTCTACGTCAATCTTCCGTCCGCTAACGAGTCGATGGTTCCAGCGTCGTGAGTTGGTCATCACTCCAGGTAGGTTTAACACGCTACCACAGCTGCTGAAGCGTCGTGAGTACCATGGTCGTCACCAAAGGTAGGTTCAACACACTACCACAGCTGCCGAAGACACGCTGAATCCACGCCGACTCGCCAGTCCCAGACCATAGGCCAACGTTATCCAATTCGCACCAAAACAATCTCATCACCTGTCGTAAACTCATAACACAAAATATTAGAACACATACAAATCATTAAACATGAAACAATTCAACGGTTAGTCACGGATTATCTCACATGACCCTAACCATCCATACATCGTTAAACAGAGATTATATCACCAGACAGACTGAATATAAAATGCCTTGTTACTTAAAACGAAAATTAAAAACAAGTAACCAAGGCCGAACGAACTATCCACTTCTGGTTTCCATTAATCTCTAACATCTTTATGGCAAACACGTAGTTTGAAACCATAAAACAACGTAAAACTCAGGCCTAAGGCCACTACTACCAACACGCCATGCGTGCCGATCGGGACGTGCTAAACTAGCACAACTAATCTTAGTAGTCACTGGCTACTACTAATAAATTCGTATATGATGAGATTAAATTGTTTTGGGCTTACTAAAATGGATTAAAAATACACTGGCCTCGTAATATTTATTCGTTACGTTATGGGTTTAACACACCATCATAATCAAGTCAGCTTTGCCTAAGTTCATTGGTTTATCAGGAGTGAAAATATAAAATCTAGTAAAACTGATTTTAAAAACTAGTATTTTACACCCTGGCCGTATATAGTTAACCTGGTCCTGGTTATAGTTAACTCGGTTTACCTTATATCTAATGAAATATAAGACTTACAATTTGTATTGGAGTGTCACACGAGCTAACTATTACTTCACCAATGAACTATTACGACGATCTCGGTACTCTACTTTAGTACGTAAGAGCTCTCGAGTGTTCGTTGTCGTGGCTGGTGAGGAACTAACTTTCCTACTTGCCGTCTGAGGGTTCCTTGGTTCATCCCTCTCGCTCCCCTCTCTAGCAAAGTAGGGGGCTCAGCTGATCTGGAACGGTTGCTGTTTGCTAACCCGAAAAAAGCTAGCCGGCCGCCGTCGTCTGCAGCCGCTAAATCGTCAGTCGCTCGAGCTTGTTGTTGTTGCTGACTGTAGGTTATGTTGTGTTTGTTTCACACGACAGTGAGTTTTAACTTCAAGTTGTCGGTTTATATTACTCACACCGCATTTCCTCACGTCTTTGAGACGGATTATTGGCCTAAGGCCATGATCTGCGGGTTTACTAAGTGTAGAAAGTTTCTTCAAAGTACCAAGCCGGGTTGAGCCCTAGCTTGCGAAACACATCGCTGGTGAGTCAATAAGCTATAAAACACTGTATGAGGTTTATGCCACGCTCATACAGTATTAATAACTCTCGTTCTACACTTATTTAATACCAAACACAACAGTGTATCATGCCTATACTTTACTGAAGATGTTATAACTAAGGTTAGCCTTCTAACCTATAACCTTAGTTAGGGCTGGTAGGCTATGCCTAGGGATAGGCTAGACCTAGGAGTAGGCTAGTTTGACCCCCCCTCAAAATAGGCACGTTACAAATGTATACTAGTTTATTGTTCTTACCCCGGACACATTGGAGCTGCGAGAACTAGGTCTGCTGGGGCGTGGGGAGCCGACAGTGGGGGACCCGCCCACCTTCTGTATCCTCTCTACGTTGGGTGACTTGGGCCGAAGCTTGTGCGGTGGTGCAGGCAGGGGTGGGGGGGAGCCACCGTCACGTGGCAGTACTGACTCGTAAATCGGCTCGGAAGTACCAGGGGGCTCCACCAGAGGGGGTGGGGGAGGGGGCTCGGTGGGTTCCGGCAGTGAAGGGGGCTTCAGCTTGGGAGCTGCAGTGCGACTCAGGTCCAGGTTGTTGGGTGGAATGTTGGGACCATCACTGGCATTGTTGAGGCCTTCCAGCTCTTGTTGGATCACTGACTCCAGCTGAATATAAATACAGAGAAATCAACACATAACCTTTAACATTGGATTTAATTATGGAAATGCAGGTCACATTCATTAAACCTTTGACTATGAATAGGACATGTAATCCCCAAGTAAAGCTTAAATCAGTTTTGAGATGAAAATTAAAGTAGTTGAGCTGACTAACGACAGAATGTGCTGGGATAACAGTTGGATTAAATGCAATATTTATGTGAAAATCGGTTACCCTGGTCTTTTCTTTTATTCTCTTCTCATACACAGAAATCTTACTATATTTTACTTTTATTCATAGTCTTGCATAGTATTCAGTGATACGATCTGTGGAATGGGGACAAATATTATGTTTTAAGTACAGCTCCTAGTCCTAAAATCAGTCTTTGACAGAGCAGTAGCAGTAAATAGGTTACATAGGTACAGGGGTTACATTAGGTTATACATTGAAATGTATATTAATTGTGAATGAATGAGTGGCTGCAAATGACACTAATAATGAAGTAGATTTTGGTTTCAACAGTAAAATTTGTTTTATTCAATTAATCGTCAAACTAAGAAATCAATTTGGAAGCTATTTTACGAAGACAAACAATGTATAACATTATGTTTTGGGAGTTAATTAGCTTACAGAATGGTGCTGTATGATGGAAATAAAGTTCATCACAAAGGCCTAGATGTCTCTATTTCACTATCCCAATAACATTTCAAGACCAATAAAATAAATAGAGCTTGTGTCAAAACAGTCACCTTAGGTCCTAGTGAAGAACTATTTTGTCATTACTTTGACTGTTTTAATATCTCAACATATTCTTTAGTAAATCATCAGTGAAACAAAACAAGATTTTACCTCTACGTCCAGGTCAGTGACTAGCTCATTCATCCTCTCTCCGATTTCATCAATGATGTTGTTTCGGCCGGTCTGAACGTCGGACAGGAAGGCGAACAGATTGTCCAGGTCGACGGATTCACCTGGCGCAGGAGCGTGCGTCTCTAGCATCTTGTTGTTCAGCTGCTCTGCGATGTGGCTCAGAGCATCTATCTCTTGTTGAACAGCTCTGTAAGTATGTTATGTGTTGAACAATACATAGGTACTAAACTAACTTATGTTTAGTACATGTGGTAATATATCAAACTAATGTAACTGCTAAGGTCTGCTACACAGGTTCAATTCAGCTTTTCAGTTTTTTGGCTTAAGCTCATATCCCTTGAACAAACCTTTGCAGACATATTGTCGATTTGGTTTACTCAAATCACCTAACAAATACAAAAAACATAGTTAAGCGTGAAAGTAGTGAAACAACAAACAAATGTAATGTTACATACCCTGAGTCTATCTCATTTGTTCCCTGTGATGGAGTGCTTGTAAAAAGAAAGAATATTTTTAAGCTTTACGATCCATCAGTTTTATAACAAAGAATCATATGTAATATGAGTCTACGACAACTGAAGAAATAACCCAATCATTTACAAAATCCTTACCTCTCTGATTCCTCAACAGCTTTCCTATCATCCTCTGCTTTTTTCTTTAATTCTTCTTCTCTCAGTCTTTTTTCTTCCTCTAATTTTTCTCGCTTCCTCATTTCTTCTTCCACCCTACGCATTTCCCTAAGGGCAGCAGCAACCTAAAGAGGGAATAATAAAATAAAATGTTCAAACAGTTAAAAAAGTTTATTCATTTTCATTTTGATTTTCTTAAACGACTATCAGCCCATTACTTAAACGTAAAACATATTGCATGTTATGATTGTTGACTGAAGATGGTAATCAATTTTTGTTTTCACTGTCAGATTATGATTAAGCATATTCGGATATCAGAACATAAGTGTAAAGGTAATTTTCATTTTATTATAGAACAGCTATTCAATGTGTGCATAAACAGACTACATGTAAAAAGTTAAAAAAATCTACCACAGATATAAAGGTGTTGCTAGCACTACGTGGCAGAAATATTCCGCAAATGACTTAACAGTTACACTTGCTATTTGAATAAGGATATTTACAAATGAGACAAAACTTTTCAAGTAGTTTGTTATTCTTGTTCACTAAAATAGTCAATGCTAAAAGTATATTACGTTGTTACTAGTCCTGAAAATAGGTGTTTACGGTACGAGTGTGGTCATTCCCGTGCGAGACGAAGTCGAGTGGGGGATTACCAGTACGAGTGATGTACGATATTTTATGCCATACTAATCTAAGCTAACTTAACTATAAAACATCTGTACAAATCCTTATATATTACCACCGACTTAAAGGACTAACAATCACTAATCATAACCTCTAAGAGAGGTTATGTTTTTGTTTATAACCACTCATTGCCAAATATTATCAGCTGGTTGGTGTCCGGTAAAAACTCATTACAGTATAGTTGTACGTCATAATGAAGCCCCATTTGATTAAGCTGGTGGCAAACAGCTGTTTTCTAGACTAAATACTAGCGTGGGAAGATCGATTAAACAGTGTAGTGTGCGTAAAAATAATTACAGTTAAGTAACATTATCATGTAACTATATACGCCAGAGTCAACCAGTTTTAATACTCACGGATTATTTGTATTGCAAATAGAATTTTCATCAATAGATTTATCGTGCAAGAAAACTTTAAGGGGGGGGGGAATTATACATTTTACTGATCTAGTACCTGATTTATTAGGCAAATCAATATAACATAAATAAGATATTTACATATTTACAAGTGTGATATTGAGAATTTTTTGCAATATTACGTAAACTAGTGGTCACATAGCGAGGACTATAGCTATAACAGGGGATTGTACCTCTCGTGCGAACACTCCGCGCAGGTGGGACTGGATGACTATGACGGCTCTCCTCTGCCTCAGGAATACAAGCCGCTGTCTCCATCCCCTGTAGGCATGCTGGATCCTCAACGTTGCATCCCTGATCTGCTTGTAATCTGCAATCAGACTTGAATTTTAATTTTACAAAGTTGGTTGGTTACAAAACCCACTGCAACTTCTATTCCTAAATCTTTAGATGTGGACATTGTTCCGGAAATGATTAATCACAGTTGTAAATTTTAAATCGTTTTAGGATTTAGATTGTGTTAGATAAGAATCTTAATTATTAGGTACGGTAAACTCTTACTACTGAACTAACAGAATTCAGTACTAAAAATAAAATACCTACGTTTGATTGAGCCTTCTCTGTAAAGTAATACAGTAAATAAAGTAATACAGCATGAAATGCTTTGTTTAAGTTTTTTTTTTTTTTTTTTACAACAATAAGCACATTTTTTATCTACTAATAATGTTAAAAAATATAAATTTTAGTGGTACTTACCTTTCCTCACATTATATCCTCTCCATGTCCGTTGTATAATCAAAGCCTTCTGGTTTATAATTTGGTTCCGACTATCTTCTAAGGGTTCATGAGCACAGCCTCTTAAAAATACTTTGGTTTTTCCGATTTGCCATTGTTTCTGATTTATTGAATATAATTTCATTATTGATCTGTAAAAAATAAATTAACTAATTATTTTTGTACCTTTTACCAAAAATAAATGTGGTATTGAAATTTCACACAGGCTTTAGAACACAGAAATTTATTTGAATCTATTAATAATGTTATAGGGACAGAAACTTTGTAAGCTTTAAAAACTACGGGAGATTCAGTATTTTGCCACAATCACAGATTCTTCCTCCTTAAAAATTATTCTTATTACTGTGGTCTCAGGTTTTTTTAAACTCTTTGCTCACTTTTTTTATACCACTTTTATGATCTGAATGGATATTTTATAAGAGACCATTTTTTAAAGACATTTTTTAAAGACAATATTAATTGAATATCAATTATGATGTTTAGCTCAAGAGAGAGTACTTACTTGATGGCTTCTCTGGCACAGTTTGGTAACCTCTGTTTGGCCAGGCAGCGATATCTCGCAACAAAGTCAGCAAACGTCAGATGGACTGGGTAGCCTTCCTTTCTGATCCTGATTATGTCCAACATCCCCAAATACTTCAGTTGATCTAATACAAGTTTCTCATTGTAGTCATTTGATGATTTCTTCATATTAGGTTTGATACACCGAACGTACCTAAAAATACACAAAGATTTTCGATCAGCTATGATAATAGGAAATATTACCAATCCATATCATCTTTACACTATCAAAAATATTATCATTATATAACAAAGTAACACAAGGCATCTCACTCCATTGTTTATATTTGGGTTAGAAAACGCCTTTAGCAGCGTCTCCATATTTTAACAGATAATGATACCAACTATGATATAGAATTCAACTTACAGTAAAAAAGTTGATACAATGATTGACAAAAACTGATACTGTGATTTAGGAAACATGTTTTCTATTGGAATCTTTAACATTATTGATAGAATTATTTACCTTTATCAACATTGTTCTAACGTCATTATAGGATGCTGTGTATGTAATATTAGTTAATGAACAAATTTTAATATTTTTCAACTAAACTAACTATATTATCAAGTAAAAAAACAATATCTAAAATCACTTCCTGTCATGTTTAGTAAAACAAGGTAAAACATACAGTATGTGGATGACTTAAAATATCCAGACTAAAACGAATTAGATTTTTTAGAGGCAACGCTTTAACCTTGAATTATTAAACGTTTTCAAACTACAAAACTTTTTAATTATATCAAGAATAGACTGTGATAGTTATCATATCAGTTACTCACCAAGGGTTTGTTGCCTGTAGGACCTCCACCAAGGCCTGGAGCTGGTGTCGGAAGGTGTCACTGACGGTAGGTTTACCCTTGCTGGTGCCTCGGCTGGCCATGGTGCTGCCTCCCGCACTCATCTTGGCCACCGTAGAGCCCAGCAGGTCCTGCAAACATCAACGATTTACATACTTTGGCACCACTATGCAGGTCAGAGGAAAATGCTGATCCTGCTCTTTAACTGTGAGAAGAGATCTCTGAGATACGAAGGACAACTCTTAGTAATTTGGTTAGAGGGAGTCACCTTCCTATAGAGGAACTGATAGGTAGATTGCATGCATTTGTCAGGTGATTAGACAATGAAGGTCTCTAAATATATCAAAAAAGACCTGCTTGGATAATCTATAAATAATTCACCATACTAAATCAAGTTTCCAAAACTCCCATTTTGATACTGATGCTGAGTACTGCTTTATTGTGTTTTTTCTTACTGCCATAGCAGAATTTTTTAGATAAATGAAACATTTAGAAAACTGTTGAGGGAATGACAAATTGGTCATAGCTAACAATGTTTCTAAAATTCAATTTCTAGAATTCAAGCACAACATGCATATATTGGTTCATAAAGTATTAAGGTGAGAGTGTTAAATTGATTTACCTGAAAGTGAGTGAGTTCCTGGACGAATTCATTAGTTGATCGGCTCATGAAGTCAAAGAATACGTCCTGCTGGACATCTCGGTTCTTGTCGACAAAGCCTTGCACACAATACGTGACAGTGCCAGCGTAGTGGTTGATGCCGAACTCCACCTCCCACTTGCGACGGTCCTCACCCTTCACATAGTGAGGGTGCGACTCAAACTCCGAGTGGAGGTTCACAAGGTACGCTGTATCTGAACCCTGCAAGGAACAATACCAATCAAACCTTAGAAATGAATACAACATACAAACAAGTAGGTAACTCGTTCAGGCATGAGATCAAACAGAAACAAGTAATAGATATTTACGTTACGAGTGTAGTAAGAGTGTTTTTACATCACCCGGGTGAATGTTGTGCAATGAGCGGAAGCGAGTGTCTGTAAACCTAGTGATGTAAAGAAGTTGTTTACATCACGCTTGGGATAGTGAAGTTTAACATGGTGGGTTGGGTAAACTTTTATATTAGCCCTTTTGTCGATCTATTAAATATTTTTTTTTTATCATTTTTGTTTCGAAAAAAATAGAATAATTCAACATACAACAACTTAAACAACAGTCTTAAATTGTTTTCTCTGGATATCCCATTTTACCAATGTAAATTTATAAGTAAGTATTTAAAAATATAGATTACACATAAGCCTAGCTTTTGTAAAGTTATAATGCTCCTTTACAGATGGAATACTGAAAGTAATTTGCATAAAACTGCTAAAGAACAAAATAGGAACAAGAACAAAGAATTGTTACCTTGGGCATGTGGCACTGTTCGGTCAGCAGTTTCAAAATGCAGCGAGGCGGCTTTTCTATCAACTCTAAACAGGAACTGTTGTCTGTAAACTGGATGTGGGAGAACTGTATTTCCTCTTGGCGATACTAGAAAATCAAAACATTAACTAAACCTGTCTCATAATAAAAAAATGAGAGACAACATTGTAATTAAGATACAAGTAGTTACAGTGTATGGTATTGAAATTGAAAGATCTTGACAGTAAATAAATGTTTTGCAACAATGATTTCTTGTTATTGTTTGTTAGTCTACTCACAACAATGAAGTTTCTTTTAGTTTATACAATTTTAATTATTTTTAACGGTTTAATTTTTTACATTTTATCATAATCGATAACATTTATTATTATTATTATCAGTTGATGGGGACACTATCTAGGTGCATATTTTAACCCAAATATGAGAGAAGGTTAGAAGGATGTATGTATAATGAAATGAGATGATCTGAGAAGCTTTGTAACTAACCAGATTAGCTGTTTCATTAGCCAGGATCATTTATTTAAAGCCCTATGATCGGGACACCTGGGTCCAGTTCCAAACCATCAAAAAGCTACTGACATTTCTCAGAATAAATCTGGCAAACTTTTAATTGCTAGGCTATTTTTAATCAATCACTCAGCTACCCTTTTATAAAAATATTTATGCATCACATATTTAAGAATTCAGAAACAATACTTACAATTTCTTGTTCCAGTGCAAAAACGTAATGGTTGAAGAACTTGTGTAGTTTTTCATTGGTGTAGTTTATACAAAGCTGTTCAAACGAGTTGACTGCAAAGTTTTCAAATCCGAAGATGTCAAGGACGCCGAGGAACCTGGATGAGTCTTGTCCGGGGTTGGTGCAGGTGTTGATGTGGTTGACGAGCCAAGCAAACGTCCGAGAGTACAACGCCTTGGCCATCGCATGCCTGTTCTCTCTGGCCTGCAAACATATAAAATGAACTAAAAACTATCTTGTTAATGGTCAATTAAAATTTTCATATTGTTGCCTCGAACTTTATTGAATATAACATTTTGGGAAATAAAACTGGGATGAGATAGATAACATTTCCATAAATAGTCGTTATACAAGTTATCATATAGTAAACCGGTTTATAAGGTAAATAAATTAATTGAATTGAATATAAGATCCTCAGACATAATAGTGATATGATTGTAATTTAAGCTGAATTATAAATTAGTAAATATATCTATATTTTTATCACAGTATTTTACAGTAACGTAGAGATACAAATACAGTATACTATGGTCAATTAATATTACTTAGATCAGTAAAGCGATTGTTGCAAAATGTTGTATCACTAATTAAATACTAACAAATATCTGAGGTAAGACCAGTGCATCATAATAAACATTGAGAGGCTCGGGAGTACAAAATTACCTTTTCTCCACGTTTTATTACCTCCCTAAACATATAATGTTATACAACCATAAACCATTTGAATTTTTTTGTTCCAAATTATAGGACATTTTTCTCTAGGATAAGGGATCCTAGAAGCATCTGCAGAGTCCCCCTCCCCTTATTTGTGCCTTGGATTTTTTCAACTGTAAACGAAGCATATGTTAAAGATTGTAAAAATGTTGAATTCATACATACCTCCTGCAATTTTAATGGGATTTCTGTGATATTTCCTCGGACGTTTATTTGCCTCAAAAGAGCGACCTGAATCACATCTTCAACTTGCAGTCCAAGTAATGATGAAACTATATTTAACACTTCATTGTCACTCTCCGTTAGTTTACATTTTTCACCATCAATGTCCTGTAAAATAGAGATTAAATAAGTACCATAAAAAATGTTATATGCATGTTCACAAATCCCAGCAATATAATAATTACCTCAACAATTGTTACACGAATTAAGCTTGATTAATTGGTCTAACATATTGAGAATGTATTGTACCTTGTGAATGTTTAAATAGAAAGAAATAACATGTAGATAAATATTACAGGGGTGCCCATCCCCCCCTAGACTCATGACGCACCCCCCCCCCCCACCATAAATGAGAAACATTATTCCCCCGCCCAGCATTATTTGTAAAACTAAAGAAGTTTTATAAATTTTTTAGATATTGAAAATTCAAACCCAGTTAATCTATATGAATAAAGTTATAGTTTTGTCTGTACGTTGCTCAGAATTATACATATTTTGGGTTATTTTTAAGCTTTATACATTAAAGAAGTAGAAACATTTCTTATCTTAATTTATGTCCGTGTGTCACGGCTCAGAAGGCATTTTACGCAGTTTACTCTAAAGGGGGTGAAAGGAAACGAATGTACCGATTATGATTCTAATGGTTTAATTGTATTCACAGGATTGGCGAGGGTGTCCTTAGTCATTAAAATATGGCCTCACTATTTTGGAAATAAAACTAACAGACGATCAAAAACCATATTTTGTGTGATTTTTTCAAGTTTTTTTCTCCATGTTTACTATTAGTAATTTATTAAATACTAATAATCTGTTAAGAGAACACGTCATATATGAAATTACTAGCTGTACCCGCGGGCTTTGCCCCGTTTGAGTATTCGCATGGCTCAATCACGTCCTGGTTGAAGTTCGTTCGCTACGCTCACTCACCTTTAGGTTCGAGCTCGTTCGCTGCGCTCACTTGCCTTCAGGTTAGCTCGTTTGCTACGCTAACTCACCTCCAGGTTGAAGTTTGTTCGCTACGCTCACTCACCTTTAGGTTGGAGCTCGTTCGCTGCGCTCACTTGCCTTCAGGTTAGCTCGTTCGCTACGCTAACTCGCCTCCAGCTTGAAGTTCGTTCGCTACGCTCACTCACCTATTAGTTGCAAATTAGCTGTTGTCATAAAAAAAAACAATAGTGCTGCACCCTGTTGGTAATCCTTGTAACTTAAATGCTAGTGAACATCATAGAACAGAACCAACTGGTTTAATTGAAACAGCTGATAAGATTAATTAATTCCTTTTAAATATGAAAAATCATAAGGTTAACATGGGAAACTCCAGAGCCACTGGGGCGGAACCCGAAAGCCCGATCAGAATAAAAACTACTTAGTTTTCCTATTTAATGCCCAAAGAATCGGTGTACCGAATTTCAGCCTCCTAGGTAAATGGGAAATGGGAGAATTAGTGATGAGTGAGTGAGTGAGTGAGTGTGTCAGTGAGGGCTTTGCCTTTTATAAGTATAGATGAACAGCTGTTTTGATAAAGATTCCTTTTTCTAGCTGTCACTGACATGTTTACATAAATGTTGTTTACTAATACTGTGTAGGCTCTAACCATTTCCGATCACGTTTGTAAGCAAATCCAAAACCAAGAGAGATTAATAACCGATGGCTTACATAGGGTTTGATTTATCACGGGTACTAATATGTAACTGTAAATTAAATTAAATAACTAGCCATCATCCAGATCGGGAACCGGAGATTCTGCGTGTATCTAGTTGTACTTGAATTTTGATTACCGGGAAAAGACCGTGAATCAGTGTTGTACAGGACTGGAAAACTTATCTTTAGTTTATATATATATAAAATTAGAGTTTTATAAGTCACCTCAATTTAAGGAATTTTTTTATTGCCAGAATATCTACATAGCGTTCGTAACCTCCACTTAACGATTTGTCAGCGTCTTTATCTTGATATAACGAATCCCCTATCCCTCCCACATAATCGTTTTGGAAACATCACAGCTCCTTTGATGAAAATGAAATGGAAAAATGACTTCAACTTCAACGCTTGCGCCAACTATCATCTGCTCCGTTTACACTTCTGTCTGCTGTGCGCTATATGCTGCAACAGATTTCAGATCCAACAGCTGGGGAATGATGACGATAAACACTGTGATTGAGTGATTAGTAACCATGGTAACTTTATTAAGGCTGTGATTGGGCAATGAGTAGGCCTAAATATGGCGACTTGTTGAATTAAGTGTATGAATTGAAGAGAAACCTAATAAAGGACAGAAGAACAAAGAAAAAGAATAGCAAGATTGTTCTCGTTACATTCTTTTTTAAGAGTGTTTTTATTATCTCTAAATATAATTTTACACTTTTTTATGACTTACAATCAATTCCTATGTTGTGATACAGCACCTACGAGTAGCCTATCTGTCTATCATGAGCAGTAGCTTATAGCTTATACCACTTTCTAAGGTTTAATATTTACGTTATTTATAGCAATGCAGTGTTTGGCTAGTTATTTTAGTTGAGTTTGAGTTAGCTATAATTTTAAACGTTGCCGTTTGTACAACTGAATTAAGATAAATTATTTGAAATGTCATATTATTGCACAATAATAATGATTGTGAAATATTGAATTTCGTTGATAAAAATGCAAATCGTGACGTTAATGGCTGTTTACTGCGTTTTAATGGGTTTGCCATCTGTTTTTATGCTATATTCGATTAACCGTATTTTTCATTACCCCCCCCCCCCTATTAACTCAGGTAATCGAGTATCTAAGCAATAGTGTAAAGTATTGTAGCCTATGCTACTTGTTTGTATCATAACGAGTTTTATGTCAACAAAGCGTTCTGTGCTGAGTCGCGGTGTAGCTGGACGTGTCTGTACCACGCGTTATCTTTATCTATCACAGCAGTTGAGCCACATTCCGTGCCCTCCCTCTAGATCTCACGTCTTGCTAATGTTGAATAATAACTTCCTACACGAATCCTAAACTATCCTAAAATCCTATTTTAACTAATTTAATTCAATAATATATCTATTGTCATTATAATTAATCGAGTTTCTATCTGGTGACTTCGTAATATATTTTTGACTGTCGTCACGTTGAACTCTGTTGCAATTAACTTTAGCCACCCCCCCCCCATTTGAAATTTTGAAACCCCCCCCAAGAATTTCAATGACGCAGTCTGCGTCACAGCCCCCCCTTGTGGGCACCCCTGAATATTACCTGATCATAATTTCAGGTCGACTGATTCCATTCGAGTCCAAGTATCCAGTATTGTGTCCGACGTAGGATTTGTAAGTCGTTTAATTTTGTTGTAGTTTAGTTTATTTATAAGGCAAGTTTATTGTGTGCCTCAATGATTATGAATCATGATCACATCTGAAGAGTCATTAAACATTTTGTTCTATGACATCAAACACCTATTTAATTTTCTACGGTAAATTTATTAGTCTTATCTGTTTTGTTTCTTTCAAGTTGTGGACTTGGAGCCACATCATTGAGATTAGTTTGGATTCATTAGAGAGCTTGTTAGGTTGAAACTTGCTACAAATACGTAGGCAACTTGTTAAAAATTTAAATGCATTGTGTTTTATCACAAAAAAGATGTAAAAGTTACAGAAACTGACATCAATAAAGAATTCATTGACACAAAGACAGAGGATAAATGAAAGGATCTTTTGTTGTTGGTGGAAAGGTAGGTGCGGCTGATAACAATGTACAAAGCATCAGCTTATAGTAGAATGTCACCTGATCTAATGATTTACGAATTATATTTTTGTATTTCACAAATCTATAAAAATACATTACAATGTTGTGGTCTAACCAAATAAGACCTCTAATTAGGCAGAATAATATAAAATTCATCCTAACCTAAGGTTAACAGAATTTACAGTTCTTAACAAACAATAAATAATGTTATTATTAAAATTAAATGATTCTGTCAACAGCACCAACTCATCAAATCCCCCCAAAGATTTTAAGTGGAACAGTTTAACCATGACAATTAATTATAGCCTCTTGTCTGTAAAATCTACGTCTCTTGCTTGTTTATAAACTCAAAATAACCATTCTAAACTCCTTTTTACATAATATTTAATTATTTAACAAAATGTTTCAGCATTTTTTCAAAATTGTAAATCTTTCAAGAAGTCGTATTTTTGGCAAGCGATATCACCAAAAGGAGTTTCAACTATCTCCAGTTGAAAATCACATTGGTTTCTCTCTTCTGCTAAATAGTTTATAAAAGGTACATTGCCTCAAACATGGTGTTGCCGAGCCAGAGGATCGCAGACAGGACGCTGAAGATGCCGTCGCACATGTTCAAGGGTATCCTCAACACATTGAAGGCAAGTCTGAGTGCATCAAACTTCCTCATGTCGCTCACCCCTTCAATGCGAATACAGCCTGACTGATTCAGGTAGTTGTAAAACTCCGGCGGCTTAAGCTTAAACTGATTTGCTAATTCTTTGTTCCCCTGAAACAACATACTTTACATCAGATTGATTTCGAAACAAGAAACAATTTCTTGATTTGATGAATTTATCTCCTTAGCTGCCTTATTGCAGCTCACTTATCTATTCTGTGTTCTCAATTCAACACTTAATTCGAGAGACGACAGAAGACATATCAATAGCAGGGTTTTAATAGGATCAAAGCATATTATTTAATGACAATACAACCATCCCCAAAATTTAAACTCTTCTTATAAACTGCATTTCAGACATGGTTTTTACTACTGTTTATTGTAAGTACAAGCATAGATAAAACATACTCGTGTTGCTTAGTCTATGGTACAAGTTACAAGTAGTAAGTAACAAAGTAGCCTAGCCAATCAATGTCACAATCATTTATGCTCTATAATTTTTGCATGTGGTTTTAATATAATATTGTCACTCTAAAATCATAATATACAGTATAACTTGAGTAAATATGGATTTTAAGACATTTTTACCTTTGATCCTTCAACCAGCTGGTAAAAAACATGGTAATTTCTTTCACCAGGACTTTGGAAAGTGATGCGAGATTGTTCAAGCAAGTAGTCCTGAATGATGCAGCCCTTGATCATCCAGCGACTGTCGAAACAAACTTGCATAAACTTGCCAAACCGGCTTGAGTTGTCATTGCGCACAGTTTTGGCATTTCCTGCAGAAAAAAAAGAGTATAATGTGAAATAATCTTAAATCTTCCTTCAACACTTACAGGAATAAAGGTTGAGTGTGGGATGGCTAAGATGTTTTTTTTGCATTGTTATTTTCTTATATTTGTACCATATTTACAATATGTTTCCATGTTTGTACCAAGTGCACTGCTGCCTGTCAAAATTACGTTTTCTTTGTTAGTTTTTGGTTGAGTAGGACATTGGATGTAACAGTAACATACCGGTACTGATGCTGCAAATCCTATATTTTTTTAATTAGTTGAAAAGTTGACAAATGACACAGCACACTTTGTCAGTGACTCTATTTAACTATGTCAAATTTCATTCTAAAACTGGCTGCAATTATAACATGGGAGTAGAATGTCTAGTTCCATCTATATTCAATGCACTTTACTAACTAATAGAATATGAGGTGCACGGTAAACCTACCAAAAGCCTCGAGGATGGTGTTGGCCTCCAGTATCTGCTGTTCTACCCAAGTGCTGACATTGCTGGTGACGGAGCAGAGGTACTGGAGGATAAACTTGGTGGTCTCCGTCTTGCCAGCCCCGCTCTCTCCCGAGATCACGCAGGATTGGTTGGTCTCGCTGGTCTGCAGTGACTTGTACGCAGACTCCGCTAAGGCAAACACGTGCGGCTCCAGGCAGCCCATCTTCTGGCCATGGTATTGAAACACATGTTCCTGGAACAGACATGCCATTCAACAAATTTGTACATGATATAAATATTACATGGAAATAAAGGCAGTGCCAGCGAGAGCCGTAAGGGGCCCCTGGGCTGAGCGATCCCGGGCCCCCTATTTTCCTGGTTAAGAGTCCAGCCGCCTCCTTGCCGTTTTGTTACACATTTAACAATAAAATGCATGATAGTTTGATTAATTCTTGTGCTCACAGTTGCAGCTTTATTCCAGTAAAAAACTACTAAGTGAACTTAGTGAACGAAGTGAAAACCATGCTAAATTTCTTTACTATAGCAGATTCATGCAGGGCCGGGGATAGTAGCTAGTACTAGCTACTATCCCCGGCCCTGGATTCATGTACAGAAGAGATTTTACATTTGACCGGGCCGGGCCCCCTTCAGAACCCAGGGCCCCGGGACTCTGCCCCCCCCCTTCCCCACCCTCTAGCCGGCCCTGAACAAAGGTGCCCATTACATTTTTTCTTTCAAACAAACATGTATTGTATTTCGTCTGAGCAGAAAGTGTTCATTTTTCCATAATCGGTTTGAGATTAAATGATTTAAAACATATTTTTAGTTGTTAATAAGCTGAAATTCTCTCGACGAATTATCGTAATAAAATTTTTCAAAAAGCTTTTTGCCCATATAAGCTATACATTATTAGGACTATTCAACTGGTGACCCAGAAAAAAAAATGTATAATGTATAATGTATAATGTATTTTCTTATTTAATTTGCCCTTTCAACGTACAGTGTATTTTTGCAGTGGCCCTCTAAACAATGGAAATTGTACACCTTCTTGCAACAACATAACCATTGACTATACACATTCAGAGGTGTTTACTCAATGATTTAACTGAACACCTTAATAAGTTATGTTAAGAAACCTTTTATGAAAACCTTTGTTTTGTGATTGTTTCTAAAATATGAAGGTAGCAGAAGTTTATTTGCTTGACACTGTGTTAATTTCCCACAATAGAATCGATATAAAACATTCATAATTTAATATAAAATAAATAAATTTGCCAAGTTTGATCAAAATATATCCATAAACAAGCAAACTACAACATTTTACAATACTCTCCATAAGAATAACATAGGAATAAACAAAAAAGTTTTATTTTCTCCGTTACTAATAATTGTACAAAAACACTTTGATATACTAAATTATTTGTTTTTAAAGCTCTTTTAAAAGGTCTAGAGAGAAATTGGGAAAATTTTGTGTTTTGGGGGTTTAAAATTAGAAAACCCAATAGCAACTAAGCTAGGGATGAGTACTGTACTGCAGTACTGTACACATACAGTGTAATGAAGCAGGCAGGCTAGTAGTAATGAGGAAGTGGTCAGTGAAGGAAGCTCCAGTTAAGTTTGCAAATGGTGCCATTGTCCCATCAAGAACTGCCCCTCCCCCCTCCTTCCCTTGCTGGGGGGAGGTTATTGCATTCCAACACTGTGCCAAGAATAAACTCTAATGTCTCCTCAACACTTTCTCAATCGTTGGTACTAATACATCTATTGGTTTAATATAAGGCTGTAGTTAAATCCCACAAACTTTGCAAGGAGATATTACTAACAATATTCCAATAATTTAGTAATAAAAATACCAAAATATCCTGTGTAAAATTTTAGTATTTAGTGTATTAACTCAAATCACCTTCATGAAAAATATATAGTTGTATCGAGTATTTGCTTCGTGAAAGCAATAATTGACCTGAAGAAGAAAATGATAATTTTAACCTTGTCACTTTAATTTTTCGTCAATTGTTTTTAATTTGAGGGTGTGCTGTTGAAAAACTTTTATATCTCGTTTAGTGATCAAGTGTGATATAAAACGATCACAACACGATCACTAAACGAGATATAGAAGTTTTTCACCAGCAGTGTATTGTATGGTCAGGATCACTTACATTTAAAGCCAAAATAAAAAGAACATACAATTGAGCAATAGAACAGAGAAAATATTTTCTAATTTAAATGTTCAACGTAGATAAAATCATATAAAATGTACATTTGAATCCTCCAATTAATTGACATTGTACAAAACTTACTGTCAAAATCAATCACTTCGTAAAAAAATAAAACAGTAAAACTTTGGACTTTGAATCAGTCCAGATCTCATAGTTTGATTTCAGGGTTAAATAGTTTAATTCTAAAAATAAAATGATTTTTTATTAATAAAATATTTTAGTTTGGTTTTTCCTGCAGTGCTGTGTTTTCTAAAATTAATATTATCAGTTAGTATTTTATCCCATTCCTTCTGGCTTGTATTTACTTACATTCGTCTATTTGACCACTTAAAACAACGGACGAATGTAAGTTTTCCAAAGCTAAGCATTGCTGTTGCATGTGAAGGCGCTACGGTATGCAACCACCGCCGCACACTACAGCATGTGAGTTGCGGAAGTTTTATTGAAGGCGTCTCCTGTTGTACCTTGTGCGTGATATACATCTTGCAATCTTTAGTAGGTATTCATGATTTTAAAACCGTGTAACACAACACAACAACAACACTGGGTACAGTATATCTAACAAGAATCGATTGTTATATAAGTGAAACCGGCGTGTATCAATCTGTTCATAATAATGGCTTGGCTACATTATAGTATTTTTGCATAGGCCCTTTACATCCTTGTGTTGTCTACCAGGTGCTAGTTATCGCTGGTGGTAGTTTACCCGGCAGGTGCTATGCTGCAGCCACCAGGCACGTGCACACACACACACACACACACACACGTGGCAGGTGGTAAACAGGCCGACAGCCGCACTGCCGGGCGCGGAAGTATCCGATTATTCCGGTTTCGCAACTTCTTAAAAATATCTTTGCTCAGAAGACCGTGTGGTTGGTCCACGATTTCGTTTACCACGAACTTCTTCTACTAGGAATGTTGGAGGGCGTAGGATATACAGCATAACAAATTTGAGAGAAACAGATACGTGGCGAAATCGTGTCATCGTGTGTAATCGTATCACAGTGTGCACGACTTAACAATTGGAATAAAGTCTTGCACATTACAAGGCTCTTTGATATAGTGGTTTGCAAATCAAATCATAAACGGTTTCTAAAATATTGGTTTTAGATCTTCGTGATTGGAACGTCATGAAGATCTAAAACCAATATTTTAGAAAACTGTTATGATGATGTACAAGTTTCATAGCGCCCATCATTACATTTTGTAGTACCAAATACACCAAGTCTTTTTGGCTTTGTTTGGTGCCTATTGGTGTAACATTACTTATTTTACTGGGAGGTTTTAGTAAACGCACAATTAGCGAATGTTTGATTAACTCCCGTCACATTTTTATTACATGCGGATAACCAGTTCATCAACGTCAGCACAATACAATGGTGTCACATATTAGGAGACTACACACGACTGTCCGGTCACGAGACATGTAAATCTATTCTTCACTTCCTCGTACCAAACTGTATTGTACCACTGATACGCTCTACAGCTCCCAGCTTTCTCTCTTGAAAGGTTTCAGCTGATAAAGTAATGAGTGTAAACTGCTGAGTATAAACCAGTTAATAAAGACAAAGTGGTTGGGCACGAAACGGGTTTTGTACGAAAAGTGAGGTAGTACGGGGCTAAATATAAAAGATAAAAGCGTATTTCCCACCAACAAATTTCAAACAGTACTTTAAAATAAAAATTATACTTCAAATATATTTAAGTTTTTATATTCGATATAATAAACAATAACAACACAGTGTAAACAACGTGGTCGTGCAGGGGGGCGCCATGTTGGAGAGAAGGGTGGCGATTACAGCGCTAGGGGCGGGAGTCTGGGGTACTATGCGGATCAATAGCGCTACTGCTGGTGACACACCCACGCACACACACACACGCAGCACGCAGCACGCGTGCCACACTGCCACTGTGATAGTCAGGTGCTACATACATTGTCCTGGCACAATTACTCGCCACTTAGCGAACTGGAGACTGGAGCCGCTGCTGAGGCGGCACTTACAAGGGTACAAACACATCACTAAGTGCATTCTTACTTTGGCACTACAGTAACGAGCAGTAACATTTAGTCATCTTTCAACAGAAAGTGATTTTATCAATGAGTGTACTTGACAGTGTCATTTTATAAAGAGTTTAATTGTTAAATCAATTTGATTGTAACCTAAATATTTTGGTTAAAACCGTAACTATAAAAACTCATCAAGTGGATTAACAATGAAATTTTTGACGATTAAATGGACGATGTTATGGCCTCTGGGGCTCTAAAAACATCAAATACAGTGGTCCTGAGCCTAATTTGCCAGAAAACCTAACGCTATATAACGAGACGTGGTACAGTGAGAGGGGGGGGAGAGAGTATTGCGAGGGACATGAAGACTACGATAATAGGTACACTTTACTGCAGTTAAATGGTCCCTCGGAAAATCCCCTACTTAGTGTTGGATTTCGAATAATTGAAAAGGTCGTAATGGTTTGGTTTAAATGTTCTTGGCTTATTACCAGTGTACTAAAAGATATTTTAAACAGCACTCGACACATTAGGTTGCCACTAGGAGATCATAATATTGCTCTAATTAAAAGACCAAGATGTTTATACAAAATTAAATTAATCAGCCATTTATAATTAGTGAAGTCCAAACAAAATGTGTGATCACCACATCAGTCTAAGTCCCGCAAGTTTGTGATTAATTGTACAGGTTGTGCTGTGAGTTATCAAGAAACAAATAACCGAGAAGATTAGAACAGAAATTTATTTTCCAATATTCGTGCAACTAGCTCCTGCTTATATTAATGAAATATAATTTATTTTGAAATAACTAAGCCAATATGTTATAAATACAACCAATATTGCTTTATTATTAGGTAAATTTCAATATGAACACGTTAAACCACTTTCGAGAGTCTCTTTAAAAAATTACAACCCTGTAAAAGAAACGGAATCTATATACTATTTGTTTCAATAACGATAACATACCAGCAATCCTGCATTTATCTTTGAATAATTTGACATAAAAAAATCGTAAGTTAATCTACGTAT